GGGTCACGGGTGGACCTGGGGTCACGGGTGGGCGGGGATCACAGATAGGCTGGGGTCACGGGTGGGCGGGGGCCACGGGTGCGCCTGGGGTCACAGGACTCTCGGGTGTGCACCCCTGGGGACAGGGCCCGCCTGCTCCTCACGGCGTCCGCTCGCTGCGTGGAATGCAGCCTCACGCAGCCCCACGCCCGGACCACAGGGCTCGTGGCCATGGCCGCGTGACGGGAGGACGGCTCTGACGAAGAGCAGCCGCCCCTGGCAGGGAAGCCGGCGGTCCACGTGGCCGCCCTCCCAGGGTTTCTCCTCTCGGTGGAGAACCGGCCCGGGCTCTCCTCCAGCTGGCCCCAGGGCGTCCTGCTCGCCTTTGGCCGCGGGGCGCGCCAGCCACAGGGCGTGGAGGGGCGGCTCGGTGCGGGGGGCTGGATCCAGGACCGCCCCGCCAGCCCGTCACCCTCAGGGACGCGCCGAGCAATTCCAGCTGGAGGAGCCGCGGCCTGACTTTGCTCCTGCTCCGAAAGTCAACACACGAACGAGGACGCGTTTACCCCCCCCCCCACCCCCGCCGGTCTTCCTCGGCCCTCAGGGTCTGCCCCGGCCCCAAGCCGAGACCCCAGTGCGGGGCGGCGCCGCAGAAGGAGGGGGCGCAGGCCAGCCCATCCCAGGAAGGGCACCCCCCAGGTCTGTCCTCCCCACCCAGCGTGGCCAGAGGCGCGTCCAGCGGAAGCCGCACCCCCACCACCCCGCCACACCAGCAGGTCGTCCATTCAGAGCTCAGGCTCTGGCCGCAAACTGTCCTGTGCTCAGTCATCCTTTCACCTACCCGGGCCTCAGTTTCCCCATCACAGCCCCGCCCACAAGGCCGCTGGGTGCACGGCTGTGGGTGTGAAGGAGCCTTCACCGGCCACTCTCCCTGCCCGGGACTGGAGCCCGCTGGCGGTGGCGATGGCAGCCGGCACCCGCCGTCACGTCAACAAAGGCACCCCCAGCCACCCGAGTCTCCCCGGGGCCGGCGCCACACTGGGCCCTGGGAGGAGCGCTCGGAGTGGACAGAGGTGGCGGGGCTACACCTGCCCAAACTGCCCGCTCCCCCCGCCCCCGGGAAGGACGCCGGCTCCTGCAGGGTGGAGGCCCTGCGTGAGGCCAGGGCGGGCACGGCGCGTCCCCGCAGGAGGGTCTGAGCAGAGCGAGCACGGCCCTGCCTCTCAGCTGCCGCCCTGGGCTCCGGCGGCGTCAGCCCAACCGCAGCAGGGCCCGGAGGGTGCGACGAGCGCCGCTGGGGACTCAGGATCTGTCCTCCCCTGGAAGCCCGCGGAGACGCTGCTGGGGCTGCGGGGAAAGCAGGCGAGCGGGGCAGGAGTCCGGGGCGCTCGGCCGCGCAGCAACGACCTGAGCTTTGGGCGCCCGTCCGGCAGGGCTGTGGTCGGAGCCACCCGCGGGCACCGGTGCTCCCTGCGGGATCACGACGGTCGCGAGCGCCTCAGCGTCCGAGAGCTCGTGGCAGCACGTGAGACATTTCACCGCCCGACCCCCGCAGCCTCGCCAAGCCCCGTCCCAGTTCCAGCAGTTTCCCCGCAGGGGCCACCGGGCTTCCGCAGACGCGACGCCGCGAGCCCTCGGACTTGCAGCCCGGGGTGCCCGCGCCTCCCCTCCGCGCGCTGCGCTGGCGGGCCGGCGGCTGACCAGAGGGCCCCCCCTCCCCCTGCAGGGGGGCCCGGGCTTTCGCCACCCAGCGGGGGTGGGGGGGTGTCCCTGCGCAGCAGACGGCCCGGGGCGGGAGTGCCCAGAGCTCTTTGAAAACGCAGGCTGGGGCGTGCCAAAGCTCTCCCGGCCTCTCCTGCGAGGACCGCGCGGGGCCCGCTGGCCAGTGCCCGTGGGCACGACAGTGCTGCTTCTTCAAGCCGTGGCCAGCGCTGCCCTCCTGGGAGCCGCTGTCTCGGCCATTTTATCTTTTCCTTGTGGATCGGGTTCCCGCAGGGCCCAGGAGACGCGCTGGGAAACGCCGCCCCGGTGCGCGCCCGTCCCCGTGAGCCGCCCGGGTGGTTTCGGGGGCTCGTCCTTTCTCCCGGGGGCTGCGCCCGGACGGCAGGGCGGGCAGGGGCAGCTGGGGCGCGAGCCCCAGGGACGCGGCCTCACGGGCGGTGGCTCGCTGTCCGGGGAACGTCGGGAGGCGTGATCGCCTGGCCTGCTGCGCTCCGCCGGAGGAAGACGGGGGGCAGGGGACGAGCGCCTGCTGTCTGCCCCGCGGGGAACATCGCGGGAGACCCGCTTGGGTCCCTGCGGACACCCCGCTGGCCCCGGGCCGGCACCCTAGGGCCACCCGCTCCTGCCCGCGCCTGTCTCCGCCCACGCCGTGCCGGTGGGGTTCGGCTTTGCTTTCCCCCCACTGGAGGCCTGGGCCCCTCCCCGACCGAGGCGCACCAGGGCCCTCTGCACCAGCTACAGATGGGGAAACGGAGGCCCGAGAAAAGGGCTCTCGCGAAGCCGGTGCCTGCGGGGCGACCGTGTCCTTACTACCTCCCAGCTGCGGCCACGGGCGCCGCTGACCCTTGAGGCCGCCCTCGCGGCCACCTGGAGCGCGCTCCGGCGGCACACCCCGTGCGGCCGAGGGGACTTCAGAGGGCGGGCTGCAGGGCCCGGGCACCCAGTCAGTGGACCGGCACCCTGGGCAGGCGTGCTAGGCCCCCACACCCGCGGAGCGTGACTGGGAGGCTGGGGGCCCGGAGTGACCCCCCACCGCACGCGCCCCCACCTGCTGGGGCTGGGGGTGTGTGCATGGGGCGTGGCCGGGCCCCTCTTCCTTCCTGGGGCCGCACCCGATCTGTGGGTCACCGGCCCGTCTCCGACAGCCGAGGCACCACTGGCGCGGGAGGCCGGGCGGGACACGGCAGGGGCCTGGCGAGGTGACTGACGGCGTGGGCGCCCGCACCGCACACCGGGAAGCGAGCCTCGGGTGAGCGGAGCGCGGCCCAGGGCGCCTGCCACCCCCACGGGGCCCCAGAAGGCCCTGCCCAGGCTGCGGCAGCAGGAGACCCGGGGCTGGCCGCTCCCCGCCGGTCTCCTCTCCCCCAGATGCCTGCAAGTTCCCGCCGGGTCGCTCTTGGCCCCAGCGCCTCCCTCGCGGGCGGAACCGGCAGATCGCTGCCAGGCCCGCTGCCCGGAGCCTCTGGAGCGTGGCAGCCGAGGTACTCTCGGGCCATGAAAATTCCTGCACGCGCCTCAGTTCCTGGAAACCACCCTCTCCCCTCGGCCGGGGCGGAGGCAGCTCCCAGCACGCCCCGCCCCAGCGCCTGCCCAAGGCCGCAGGGAAACCCTGAGCGCGGGGGCCGCCTGCCGGCAGCCGGGGCCAGTGCACGCGCCCGGCGGCGCCGGGACCTTCCCGGGGCTCCAGGTGGGGTCCAGGCGGCCACGGGGGCTGGGCTAGACCAGCAAGTCTTCGGGGAGAATCTCCGGGCAAGGGGGAGGAGACGGCCCAGAACCCCTGGGGGGAGCTGAGGCTCCCCGACTGCCCTGCAGTCCCGGGGCACAAAGACGGAGGGCTTACCTGGCAGCCCTGCCGCGCCCCTTTTCCCTGCGGAATCAGGGGTGGCCCTGGGCGCCCAGCCTGCGCAGGTGAGAGCAGAGTGGGCGCTGGGGGCTCAGGGGTGCGAGGCAGGGCCAGGTGTGCGGCCCAGAGGCCGAGCTGCCCCTGCCCCTCCACTGCAGCAGCCGTGGGGCCTGGAGACGGGGTGCTGCAGCGGGTGAGCTCTGCCGACGGGCACCTGCCAGTCACTGCCGGCCCGGGGGTGGGCTTGCCGTGGGAGACGCCCCCCAGGCTCCGGCTGGAGCACCTGTTGGCCGGGGTGACCCCTTGGCCCCCGACCCGGGCAGCCACCCCCGATCTTGACCCCTGGCAAGGGCCTCTCTGGGGGTGTGTCTGCAAAGGGGAAGAGCACGTCTGAGTCTGGGTGTGGGGACCCGCGGGGGTGGTCTGGAAAGGCCCCGCCCCCTCTGGGGTCGGCCGCTGGGCGTCAGGCCTGGTCTTGGCTGAGGCCTACACCCGGAGTCCACCCTAGTTTTCACCCACCCACAGGAATGGTTGTGTGTCTTGCTTCCGTCCTCTCCCTGCCAAACAAACTCACTTTAGGAAAGAAACGTCAGCTCTCGAGAGCAAACGTCCTCAAGTAGGGAACCCTCGGCGCCGCGAGGATTTGCAGAGGCCGACACCCCCGTGGCCCGTCGAGGGACGAGCAGCCGCCTGAGCTGCAGTCCTGGGGCAGGCCGGGGGTGGGGAGAGCTCAGCTGAGGCCGAGGGGAGGGTGCAGCCGGCCGGCCAGGGGAGGAGTGTGGGCCGGGCTGGCCCGTCTCCTCAGAGCCCACCCCTCAGATTTGGGTCCCAGAATTCAGTGCTGCAATAGCACAAACTTTCCTGTTGAAAAGGACTCTAAGCCTGGACAGGAACACGGGATGAGGGCACCGGAGTGACCCAGACGAGGTGCTGGCAGGAGCGGTGCCGCCTGCTGAGGGCTGCGCTTGTACGGCTTCTCCCCAGGGCACGCCTGGTCCGCGAAGGACACGGGCTCTGGGCCAGGCTGAGTGTGCCGCTCGCCCCCAGGGCATCAGTTGGGGGAGCCTGAGCTAGTCAACCCCCAGACAGAGGGGACGTGTGAAGGGGTGCAGGGAGAGAAGCCTCACGGCCTGCAGGGTCTGCGCGCCTGCAGTCTGGGTGAGCGCTGCCGCACGGGCACCAGTGCCCGAGGCCTCAGGGAACAAGAAGCCAAGCCTGGCCGAGGGAGCCAACGCAGCTGTGTCCCGGGCCAAGCAGCTGTGAGCCCAAGGCCGGCCCAGCCTGTGGGCCTGGGGAGGCCAGAAAGGCCGGCCTCCGGAGCAAGGACCACGTGCCAGGCAGGAGAGGGCGGGCAGCAGGCCAGGCCCGCGATGCCACCCGGTCTGCGAGCTGCTGACCCGGCGGGCGCGGACGCCCAGGCCCATGCTCTTCTGGGCAGCGCCTAGAAGCCAGAGGCTCCCCGAGAAACCGCCCTCGGCCTCCGGAGTAAGGACACGGGCGCAGCCGTGTGAACAGATGGACACCGGGCTCAGCAGGCCAGTCAGCGCGGGGCCCGAGGGCGGGAAGCCACCAAGCAACCAGGGGGCGGCCGCTGACCGGTGCCAGGAGCGCTCACGCATGGAAGAGCCGGACGGAAACCAAGAAGGGACAACGCCGACTGTCTGAAGTTTAAAGAACAAACATGGTTGCACAGAACAAGCCGACAGAGGACAGAGGAACCAAGGGAGCCCAGAACTGACCACTTCCCATCCATCCTGACCTGGGGGCCTTTCGGGACCCACCCAGAACCCCGAGGCACAGACTGCCCCAGGCTGGCACTGGCTCATGAACCGCCAATGTGGGGCCTGCAACCATGAGCAAGGATGTAACCCCTGCAGTAGCTGCCGCCGCCCCAGCGTGCAGATGGCACAGAAGGGAAGATGGGGAGCAGGGGGCACCCCTCCCCGCCCCTAGGAAATCAAACAAACAAGAGGTTGGCTGGAGCCCTTTGTCTAAAATCCCAAGATGCCCAGTTGCCCAAGGGCGGAGTGCGCGGGCCTCCCTGCGCCGGCCAGCCTGGAGGCCGGGCGGGACTCATCACTGCTTCTTCCTGGGGGCCCGGGGTGGCCGCAGCTCCCCAGGCCCGTGGGCAAACGGGCAGCTGAGCGCAGACAGGACGCAGCCGTCGGGGTGGTGAGTGAAGAACCAGCAGAGGCGGGTCTTGAAAGCTTCGGAGAAGAGTCTCTGCTTGGCCTCCGGCCGCTCTGCCTCCCGCCGCACCTCCTCCCGCCAGTCGCGAAGGCGGACTCTCCCGTTCAGAACTGCGGCGGGGAGAGGCCAGCCCCGTCAGCCACATGCTGTGCCCGCCCCCAGAGAACGGGGCTCAAAAAAAACTAATTATAGGGTCTCCCTGGTGGCGCAGTGGGTTGAGCGCAGCGCTGTGGAGCTGTCCGCAGCCTCTGCAGTGCGGGTTCGATCCCGGCCGGCCAGGGAGAGACCCACACGGCGCAGCAGACCTCTCCTGCCTCCCCGCTGCTCCCCTCAGCAGTGTACCTTGGTCCTTCTGCCTGCTCTGCTCCCCGCTCTGGCTCTGGTGAATCCTCTCACCCTCCCGCGCCTCTGACTGTACCCAGCTCTTGTATAATAAATCTTGAAAGAAGCTAATTATAATAAAGTAAAAATCAAAACCGACAGGCAACTACAAACCAGAGACACATCACAGCGGGGAGAAGGGAGCAGGATCAAACAAGGGGGGCGGGAATTGCACGGGGACTATAACCAAGATGAAAGCGTGCACATCGTGTAAACATAAAAAATGATGTAAAAAGATACGTAAATATAAAAAAAGAAACAACGGGGTTCCCGTGGCCCGGGGATTCAGCATCCAGCGGGAACACGGGCTGAGGGCTCAAGGCACCCCAGACCCCCCGAGGCTGTGTCAACCCTCACACCAGCAGGTGAGTGTGAGGGAGATGGACCCCAGCGGCGGGCTCCGGGGGGCCGGGAGCCATCGGGAGCGGGCACCGTGGCATGAAGCCGTGCTGGAGGGGCTGCACCGGAGGGGCCACAATAACGCGCGTGTCTATGGCGGGTCGAGGACGCTGCCTTGTGAGGCCACAACGTGCTGGGGAACGGGCAGCCTGCCGGGGCCGCAGCATGGGTCCCAGGGGCCGCAGCCTGCTGACCAGAGAGCGGGCCGGGGCGGGCCTCCTACCAGGAGCCGCCGTACCTTCAAACACCTGGTGGCTGTTCCTCAGCAGCGTCTGCAAGCCCCCGCATTCCCGCTTCAGCCTCTGCAGCGTCCCCCTGTCCAGCTTGCTGGCCACTTCTGCCAAGGACAGGCTCCCTGTTGAAGCGGGGTTCCCCCCAAACAACAGTGAGAAGATGCTGAGGCAGACGCCCTGAGGTCGGGACCCTATTCAACCCCCCTGGGCTTCAGCGGGAGGACCCGGCAGCTAAGCTTAGGCCACACCACATGGCAGCTGCAACTGTGCGCAGAGCCCCTCGGCAGGTTGGCGGGACCCCGGGACCCCACCCCTTCCTGCCTCGCCAAGCCCCCATGGGGAGTGAGCTGAGCCGTGCCCCCACATGAGGTCAGCAACCCCAGGGGGCAGTGGTGTGGCCTGAGCCCAATCAGGCTGCGTTGGGCTGTCCCCCACTGTCCATCAGAGCCCGGCCACCTGCAGGCCACCGCTCAGCTGCCCAGCCCTCCGGGCGCAAGTAGATGAAGGAAAGTATCTGATAAAGCCCCAGCAGCCCTGGGCCCTGGGCCCCATGAATCCGCGGGGCTGCCGCGGACCAGCACAGCAGTAGACGATGAGGCCGTCTCAGGGTTGAGAGAAGCCCCCCTGCGCGCTGGTTCCTTGCCCAGCCGGACCTAGGGACCGTGGCGAAAGCCATTAGCCCTAAAGGTCACTGCAGGGGGAGGTGCAGCAGCCGGCACCCCCCCACCCCCCCAGCAGCGCAGCCTCTCTTCCCCCTTCCGCAGCCTCCCTTTCCTCTCAGCAAGCCTGGCAGGATCCCCAACCTGGCAGCTGCCCAGCGCCCCCTGGTGGCTGCCGACAGGCCGGGGCGGGGGTGGGGTGGTGGTGTCAGACAAGCTGCTATGGGGGCCTGCAACATGCTCCCGCCCTGTGTCACGTCTGGCTCCCGCATTCGGGGGTTCAGAGGACCGTTATCACAGCGCCTCCAAGCCACAGCCATGCACTCGAGGGCCAGCACCCACTGATTGCAGCGGTCAACCTACAGGCCAAGACGGCAGCTCCAGACCCGAGGCCAGCGCTGAGCGGAGCCCTGGATGCCAGGGGAGCAGCCGACACGCCCCCGGGATCTCGGGGACGCGCTGACACCACGGCGCACGGCCCTGAGCCGGCGCGAGGGAGACCCGACACGTGCCACGGGAAGCGTTACCTCCTCGATTCCAGGTCTTCGTGCTCCCACCTGGGGAACTCAAGTCCAGTGGCCTCTGCCCCAGCAGCAAGCCGGCCACCTGCAGGACCACCCGGTCAGTGAGGTCCCGTGGGAGGGCGGTGCAGTTCCTCACGCGCTCGGCCTTCTCTCTGGGCCGAAACCCGGGCAGCCAGAGTCCTGCGTCCTGGGCTTCCTGGGCCTCTGCCCCGTGCAGACTCTGCCTCCGGGCGTGGAGACTGTCGGGGTGGTGGGTCCCACCCACGGTGACCGGGCCAGGGGGGCCCCCGGGGCAGCCCCGCTTGCTGATGTACTGCGTTCTCCGCGCATCGGCGGCAGCCTCTGCGGCAGGCGGGTATGTTCTGGATTTCCCGATGAGACAAACCTGCATTCGTGAAGAGCAAGATTAGCACCTTGTACCCTGTTCTCCACGGTGCTCTCGCGCTCTGGAGGAAAATTACATGGAAGTTTTTAACACCTAACAGAAAAGAAATCCTCGCTGCAGACACTAACACCGACGCAAACTAAACCACTCAGAGCAAAGCCCACCAAGCTGCTCACGGCTCAGACGCCCGGAGGCCCAGGAGCAGCTGCGTGGCGGGGCCATACTGATGGCCGGCCAGCTCCAGCCGCAGCTCTGCCAGCCCGAAGCCGAGCCCGCCACCCCCACCCAGGTGCGGACCCTGGGGTGGCCTGGAGAGCCCTCGGGGGGCAGTCACGCCCGCCACCGTCTGCTGACCTGGCAGAGGGAGGGAGGCCCAGCAGAGCCTGACACCGTGGGGGGTCGATGGTGCTGTGCTCTTCCCACAGGCAGGTGAAGGCTGCCGTTGGGGTTCTGGGAGAGCGGTCCCGTGGGGCTCAGGGCCACCTGCAGTTCTGGAAACAGCCAGGCCCGTGCTGACCTGCTGCAGGCCCAGAGGGGGCTCGCGTGGACAGGGAGGGTGGCGCCCAAGCTTTCGCAAGAAGACACTGACTGCGTGGCGCCCCGGGAACACCCCTCCCAAGCACAGGAGCCGCCCGTGTCCCCACGCGGCCCGGCTCCCAGCCCGGCCCGCGCGGCCTGCCGAGACCCACGAGCGGGACGCACCCTCTTGGTGGACGGGATGCGCAGGCCGTCCTCCTCCACGTGAAAGCCGCACGCCGCGCCCACCTCGCGCACGAAGTCCAGGTACTCGCGGTACTGCGTCTTCTGGCTCTGCCTGCGGCGGTACCTCCCCACGAAGTCGAAGAAGCAGCAGGGGAGCAGGAAGAAGCGGCAGCTGTAGGAGGACCTGGAGGAAGGCCCAGCAGAGGGCACGCCCTCAGGACCTCCCGGGGCACCCTCAGCACCTCCAGCCCCACGGCCTCCTCTGACGACCCTCCTGCCCTCAGGAAAAATGCTCCCAAAAGACACTCCCTGTGGCTGGATGGGATCGCTGCAGAGACAGCAACACCGCCCAGCGGAGAGCTGAGGCGCACGTGCGTCTCGGCAGCCGTGTCTCACACAGGAGCGGGGGGATTTACTTCAGGTTTCACCAGAGACGTCCCGTGCTGCCGCTTCAACGACCCGACCAGCTTGCTGCTGGTGCCAGCAGGCACCCAGCCTCCGGGCCACTCACCTGGCAGCAATGACGGGGATCCAGGGGGTCAGCTCATCGGAGTGGTTGCCGATCAACCAGTCGGCATCAGGGAAGCGGGCCTCGTCGCTGGGCATGACCGCACCTTCCTGGAAGCAGCACACACACACGCACACACACACACACACACACACACAAACACTTATACATGCATGCCTGGGCGGCGAGCAAGTGCAAGAGCAAGAGCGGTGGGCAAGACCCTGAAGCCACTGCCGGCCCAGGGGCCGGGCCTTCATCTGTGGGCGGCGAAACCAGGGCGTGGAGTGGGCGAGAGCCATCCCGGCCCCGCACTGCCTGGAGGACAGCTCCGGGGCGTCCCTACCACTCCCCCTGGAGTCTGTGTGCTCCCGCACTGGCGCGCTGCTGGGGTGAAGGCTGCCTTGGGGGTCCTGTGCCTACCCGCAGAGCCCGCCTCCCCCCCAGACCCGGGCGTCCTAACTGCGTTCACTTGCGCGTGTGCCTGACACACATGCAGACGCGTGAGCCAGCGGATGTGAGGCAGATGGATGGGGCAGGGCAGCCCGTACCTCCAGGCGGGTCTGCGGGCCATACATGTCCCAGATCTTCCTTCTCCGGACGTCAATCCCTCTGCCCGGATGCTGAGACAATTTAAAGACCCGCGGTTACGCTCACCACACGACACGACGATGAGCCAGCAAGTCCAAACCCAACTCTGCAGGCTGGCAGCCAGGATCGAGGGTGGGCGGCCACTGTGGTTCTTCCCGGAGGGAAACGGAGGTGAGGGGCAGGAGCACCCCCAAGCCGGAGGCCCAGGAACGCCCCTGGAGAGGTGCTATCTCGGCTCTCGATCAGGAGCAGCCTTCCAGGACCCTCTGTAGCTGCCAACCCAGACGACCACATGCCAAGGCCGCCTCTCGCCCTGGAGACTGGGCGGCCTCGCCAGCACTCAGAGGGTGCGACTGCCCACCCACACCGGCCACTGCCAGGTGCCCCTGGATGCGCTCACACCCCACAGGCAGCTGCTGCAAAGCTCGTTCTCTTGCCAGTCAAAAGCATCTCAGCCCCCACTTTACACCCCCCAGGCATGCCAGTGTCTGCCCAATCAGGCAGCTGCCACCGGGAGACAATCAGGCTGGGGTCCCGAGAAGGCCGCACACCTGGGGTCAGCTTCAGGGGGCGCTCAGTGGGGCTGGGATTGGCCCACAGGGTCCAACAGCGCCCTCCCGAGGCCCCTGACAGCGACTCCCCTCCGCAGACACGGCCCTTTGTGTGCCTGGAGCCCCGCGACACAGACAGAGGCGGAGGCTCAGCGGGCGCCACGTCTGCAGAGCACACGCCACTGGGTGACCCTGTCGCACGTCATTCGGGCGTACACACACTGCCTTCCACACCTGGCGAGTGTGCCCGGACTGGACTATAGTGTAGTGCAAACTGACCAGCACGTGTGACCGCTTCAGGGAGCGGCCGGGCCCCCACGTGCCAGGTGCCTGGGCTCCAAGCAGAACCCTGGCCCCTCAAGGGCACGGCGCACCTGTCCTTTGTTCTCCCCCCAGGGCCTTGGAACAACCGGCTCTCTGCAGGAAACACCTGCCACGGACGCCTGGGCTCTGTAGCCTGTGCCCGCCTCACGCGCACAGGTGCCCAGCCCTTGTCCAGCTGGAGCCTCCTGCAAGCCGCCCGCTCCTCGCCCGCAGCAGGCCGCCCTCGGCAGTGCACAGCAGGACAGCCCGCGGGCCCCGGGCGGGCCTGGGGGGGGGGCCCTACCCCCTCGCTGCTCAGGATGTGGACCAGGAGGCCGTTCCCGCAGCCCAGGTCAACAAAGGACTGCCTGGCCGCCAGTGCTCGCGCGGCGCGCTCCTCCTCCCAGAGAACCTGCCAGAAAAACACAGAACACGGCGCCGTCAGCCACCCACCCACCCAGGACCGGTTCAGACTCACCCCAGGGCAGCGAGCGGCCCCTCCCGGGCCCAGGCCTCCGGCGGCTGACAACAGGCCTGGTGCCATGCGGGTGCCGCTTTCCTCCCGCGCCCAGAGTCCACCTTATCGTGGTCACCTCTGGCCAGCGCCTTCTAAGGTAACCCTGACTTCCTTGTGCCTCTCCAGAGCCCTCAGGTTTACTACGCCGTCACGCCCGTAAGCACAACGCCGATTCTATCAAGGCTAGAGCCACAGCGGAAAGGAAATCGGGAGCATCCACCCTAAGCATGGTGCGGGGGAGACAGTGAAGCCCATGGAGTGCAGGTGGCGGGAGGGAGTGAGGCAGCGAGCGGGTGCAGGGGCCGGAGGCCGCGGAGAGCCCTGGGCGGCGGCAGCAGCAGCAGCAGCTCCCCAGAGTTACGGGGATGCTGGCTCCCCGGAGCGCCTGCACATTCACAGTTCAGGCTGTTCTGCACCCCGTATGGGCTTGGCGACTGTCGCCCCAGGGCAGTGCCCTGCCGCCCCCACCCCCCCAAACTCTCACCAGCAGGTAGGCAGCGATAGCCACGTCTTCAAACACAAACTTCTCAGGGTCAGTGACTTCAGGCCACACCTAAGGATGATCAGGAGGGCAGGTGAGCTGGGCCCTCCCCCCAGCAAGACCGAGCATCGCCCAGCATGCACCCATCCTGCCACTGAAAAGAAATCAACCCAAAAACCTTGCTCCCAGTGGCCACGCTGGAGGCCACCGAGCCTCCCGTCTGTGTCATGGCCACGCCGGGGGCAGCAGGGCTGGGACCAAGACTGCCAAAATGAAACGCCCAGAGGACCTCTGGATGAGCGAGTGGACATAGGAGGCTGACCCTCAGTTCTCCACTGCGTCATTTTTGTAGATGAGGATGATGACAAGAAATTGAGGGGCTGGGGAAGTGCGGGGACAGCAGGGTCGGGAGGCCAGCACTCCTGGGCCTGGCCCGCAGTGACTGGGCGCGCTTGTCAGGCATGTGGCCGAGCTGCCCACGCCCGCCTCCCACCTGCAGGGCGGGACAAGCCCCACCGCTCCCAGGACGATCACGGGTGCTGGGAACACGGCAAACTTGGGCAGCGCAAGTGGGGGTCCCGGCAGGAAAATGCGCACGTGCAGAGGGAGCCCAGCAGGGCAGGAGACACGGCCACCGGCCCTGGGGCTCAGCCTCCTGCTCCCACAGGGCGAGGAGCGGGCGGAGGTGGCCAATGGTCTCGGTGTGGCCAACCCACGGCAAAGGAGGGGGCGCCGCCAGAGGGCGCTGGCTGCTGACCAGGCGACAAAGGGCTCCGGACCAGGATCGGGGCGCCCAGCCCACCTCAGCCAGTCCCGTAACCGAAGGACATTTAGCAGGAACACGAGGTTACTGTTCTGCAGCTGTGACTTTCGGGGTGCGCCGGCACCCACCAACAGTGGCTGACGGTCTGCATGACACAGCAGCGCCTGGAGGCTGCACCCCTTAATGTCAGCGCCTGTGGCATGGCCAAGGGCCCGTGCGGGTGGAAGCTCCTCCGGAACACCACCCCCACGCCTGGCTCGCCCAGAAGCCTCAGGCGCGCCCCAGGGTTACCTTCACCAGGTCTTTATACTTGGCCTTCAGCTCCTGGTAAGTGCTGCTGTACTTGGCCATGGAGATGAGGGACAGGGAGCCTTTACACCCGCTCTTCCTGCCCTCGCCAGCCCACCTGGCCAGCCTGGCCAGCAGCTCGCCCCCAAGCCAGGAAGGCTTGGGGTAAACAATACCGTCTGAATGCCATTGTTCTGGACAGAAAATTAAAACAGATATGAACCTTCAAAAATAAGAGAAAGAGTAATAAGCAGAGCTACGCTCAGCCGTCACACGTAAATCACACAACATTTGCCAACAGAAGAGGGACGCGGCCGCCTGCAACGACCACACGCTTTGCTCCGGACACAAACCACCCAGGAATAGTTACAGGATTTTCATCCAACAGAAATAAACACATTTAAACAGACACAGTCCCCAAGACTGTTCTAGAAAATACGAACCGGATGTGGCTCTCCATGAAGCCCTTTAAGCCGGGAGCAACACACCCTTCCTCTGGCTTTTTAACAACGCCAGTGGCCGCACACAGGCATCTAGCTTTCCGCGCTGACCCCAAGCCCCGGGGGGCGCAGAACTGCGGCTCCCCGACTATCCCCGCCGCCCACAGCCACGAAGCGGAAAGGGGCGCCGCTCGCGTCTGGTCGCCGGGCTGTGGCCACAGCAAAGCAAAGGCTTGGAGCGGCGCGGCTTCAGCCGGCACGAGCCGCCGTGGAGCACAGACTCCGGCCCCGCGGCCGCCCGGGCCCCCCGGGAACCAGGCCCGCCCGGCAGGGCCCCCAGAAGCACAGGCCACACGCAGCCCCTGCCCGAGCAAGTCGCCGGGGAGCAGAACGGGAGGGGCTCGCACTCACCACTCCTCCTCCTGGCGGCCGAGCCGGATCTGATACACGTTGCCCATCTGCGCCGTCAGACGGCCCTCAGCGCCCTCCTCCAAAGGCAGGAACGTGACGGTTCCGCGGAGAACATCTGGGAAGGAAACGGTAAGGCCACCCCAGAGCAGCCTGCTCGGCGCCCACCCCTGACGCCCGCGGCAGAGACCGTGAGGACGAAGTCAGCCGGGCCGCCGCGCTCCCGGGGCCCCCCACGCCACGCACGGCAGGAGGCAGGGACGCTGCACGGGCACCCGTGGACACACCCAACGGGTACTTGTTGGGGGTCACGTGACACAAGCTGCCAGGGCTCGAAAGCGCCAATCGGAGGATGGGGATTCTCCGCCACCTGCTCAGAGGGGGCATCTGGAAGGTTCTAGGGCCTTCCGGCCCAGGACTTCCCACCACTGAGGGGCTGGCCACTTGACCGCCCTTTGAAAAGAAGCAGAACAACACCTGCGTGCGCCCCGGCGTCGCAACGACATGCGCGGATGCAAAGATCCGCCGCGTAAAGTTCGTCTCTAGCATCGACCACGCTCGCCTTCGACGTCAAGTAAAAACACACCCGTTTCCGTTAAAGACAGCCTGCGCCACCGAAGCCCACCGCGCCAGCCGCAGGAGAGCAGGCCCGCTAAGGGGCCTGGTGGGCAGACTGGAGGGGGCAGGAAATGGCAGTCAGGAGAGCTGCCGCCTGCATAGAGCGGGGGCCGAGCAGAGCGGGGACCGAGCAGAGCGGGGCCGCGGGGCCCGAAGAGGAGCCGCCGCTGCCAAGGCCGGGGCAGGCAGGGCGCACGCGGGTGCAAGGAGCAGGGGAGGGTGAGACAAGCCTCAGGTGACAGGGCTCAGGGCGCACGGGGCCCTGCCGCTGCCGGAAGTCAGAGAGAGATGGAGAAAACAGGCCGTCAAACTCTCGGTGACTCAGGATGGGCCAAAGACGCGAACGTAAGGCTTGAAATCGTGAAACTCCCAGAAAATAGGCAGTAAGCTCCGCGGCATCCATCTTGTGTTGAGCTTTGGATTTGACATCAATATAAACGTGGGCCTCTCTGGTGGCGCAAGGGGTTAAGCCCGGAACTATGAAGCAATCTGCAGCCTCTGCAGCACGAGTTCGATCCCCGGCCAGGGAGCTACCCACAGGGCGCAGCAGACCCCTCCTGCCTCCCCGCGGCTCCCCTCTGCAGTGTGTTTCAGTGGATCCACCTGTTCTGCTCCCCACTCTGTCTCTGGGGAATCCTCTCACCCCCCACATCTCTGGCCTGTACCCCAGCTCTTGTATGCACAAATAAATAAATCTAAAAAAAATAAAGCAAATATAAACAAGTGGGTGGGCCTCCCGGGTGGCCTGAAGAGGGGTCATTCTCAGGCTGTCACTGCTATGGCCTGAGTGCAATCCCTGGCCAGGGAGCTGCCTAGAGGGCGCAACAGACCTCTCCTGTCTCCCTGCTGCTCTCCTCAGCAGTGTGTTTCAGTACATCTGCCTGCTTTGCCCCCCACTCTGTCTCTGGTGGATCCACTCACTTCCGCACCTCTGGCCTGTTCCCCAGTTCTTCTACACAAAAATAAATAAAAAATTAAGAAAAAACAAAACGGGCGGGCCAGGGCCCCACATGGGAAGGAGGCGTTAGCACCTCGGCCAGCGCTGCGGGCGGGAGGGGCGGGCGAGGGCATGTGGGCGCCTTCACAACACAGCTCCTCAGGCTCCATCGTGGTGAGGGTTTCACACCCAACACACACAAAAAACTCATATAACTATTTTTTTTAAATTAAAAAACGGGGCCTGCCACTTTCCCAAAGACAAGGGACACAGCTGACCAGCAGGAACACGGAAAGGTGCTCGATTCATCCCAGAGGGCTGCAAATCCAGACTCACCTGCCAGGATATCAAGTCAGAGACGAGTGGCGGATGCTGCAAAAAGATGGGAGACTCACCCCCTGCTGGGGGACTGTGTATGGCGCAATCTTGGTGGAGAACGACAGGGAGGACGCTCAGAAACTCAACAACAGGACCACCACGTGGTCGAGCAGCTCCGCCCCGGGGGCCTGACCCACAGAAAAAGCACAGCCCGCCTGGTACCCCCCCGCCCCGCCCCCCATGCAGCTCACCCCTGGCAAAGCCGGGCATCGTACCCTGTGGGCACACACGGACACTCTGAGGCCTTCCTGGCTGGGGCAGACTTTCTGTTCATTCACTTGCCTGCTACCTATTTTCACACAACGGCCAGCTTCTCCCAGAACCCTTTCGGGTTCACCCCATCAATGATCCTGGTGTCAGCACTGAGGACTCTGTTGCACTGTCCTGTTTTTGGAGCCCCCTAGGACGTGGCAAAGGAACTGGCCTAGCAGGTACCCACAGAGCCTTCTCATCCACCTAGGGCCAGGGAAGGTTTTCCACCTAATTCCTTCTGCCAGAGCCCCAGTCTGAAGCTGACCCTAGCCTGCCCCCGGCGCTGACCTGCTCTCCGCTGGGCCTCAGTATTGGCCCATAACCAAACATGGGGTAGTTCCCAGGGGCTCAGGGCAGACCAGACCCCCTTCAAGTGTCCATCTGGGGAAATTCAAAGTCAAAGTCTTGACTCTGAACCCACACCTGAGAAGGGGCGCAAGTCTCCCAGCCCTGGGGAAGGCAGGGGCCTGATTTCAGAAGGGCCTGTAAGCAAATCCAGACGGTTTCACACAGACCACCCCCTTTCTGCTCTCAGCAACCTGTCTCTCGGCAGACTCGGAGTCCCGCCCCACGCCCGGCCTGATCCCTCATCTCCCTTTACAGGCGTCTCTGTAAAAACCCGACTTGACAGCAGCCACCCTGGACTCTTCTCCCGACTGCAGAGTTACTACCAGTTCAACCCGCCCCGGCCGCGTCCGTGCCGGCGTCATTCTCCTACCTTGCACGACGATCTCTCTCCTGGGAGCGGTGAGCGGGCGCTGCGGGGTCGTTTTCGGGATGACGGTTCTGAGAACCACGTCGAGCTCTTGCTGATCCTCTGGCTGCGGTCCCGCGTCGGAGCCGGGGCCGGCGAGAAAGGCCAGCAACTCCCGATGGCCAGCGGCGAGGCTGCGGCAGAGGCCGTCCCAGAGAGAATCCAGGTCCGGGGCGGGGAAGTCGTCCCGTCCGAGCGCCGCCTGGCCGCGCCGCCCGGGCCCCGCGGCGGCCTCGTCCCGGGCCTCCCCTGGCTGGCGCCCGTCCTGGGCCTCCCGGGGCCCGTCGTCCGCCGCGCCCTGCCGGGGCCCCGCCCGCGGCCTGGGGTCCGGAGCCGCCTCCGGGGAACGCGGACGCGGCGCCGGGTCCGGCTCCTCCGGCTCGGGGCTTGCGCCCGGCCCGGACTCGGGGGCCTGGGCCCAGGGCCGGGCGGCGCGCCGTCGGGCCTCCAGGCGGACGCCGCACAGCCGCTTGTTGGCCACCTGCGGCCTCTCCAGCCACACGGCCACCGCCGCCCAGAAGCCCCCGGGGAGCGGCGCGCCGCCAGCGGGCACCGCCGCCCGCCCCACCTCCGCCATGGCCCCTAGGCGCGTCCGCGGCCGGCGGCGGCGCGGCGTGATGACGCACAGAGACGACGCACCGAGATGTCGCAGACGGCGCGGCGCGGCGCCCTCACGCAGGCGGAGGGGGCGGGGCTTCCGCGGCGCACGCCGAGCTCGGGACCGCCCCGGCCTCGCGGACCCCCGTCCCCTTCCCGGGCCCGGGGAGGCGCCCCGGGCGGGCTGTGCGCAGTGGGGGGCGGCGGTGGGGTCCGGGACTGGCCGTGCGGGAAGCCGGGAGCCGCGTCGGCGGGCGCGCACGGCCGCTCCCCTTCCAGAGGGGGCGGGGAGGGAGCAGGGTCGCGGGTGGCGAGGGCAGGGGAGGAAGACCCGCGAATTCAGGAACTCGGTGGGGCGCGGGCCGTGGGCGTGAGCGGGCCCTGGGTACGTTGTCTCGTGGACGAAAAAAGGCCCCTGCCCACCGCCTCGGCCCAGCACCGTCCGGAGGTGTTGCGCCTACTCGCGGGGCCGGCAGGTTGGAAAACCTGACCTGCTGCTCCTCGTTGCAGGCGTGCATGGCGGCTGGGCCAGGCCCTGAGGGTGCAGAGCTAAGTAAGATCGTGCCCTCGGGCAGCCCTCGGCCCCTCGTGGAGGTGGAAATGTTATAGGACAGGGAGAGGGGCAGCCCAAGCCAGTTTTTCAACAGCAAATCGACATATGAAACAAACACACCGGAGAAACCAAAAATCACATTTGCGCTTATGGTAGCCAGTGCCACAGGGAAGCCCAATTTCCCCATGGGGCTGACTAACCACGGATGGCTCTGTCCTAAATCACGTTGGACGCCAAATCTGTTATAGGACAGGGAGAGGGGCAGCCCAAGCCCCACAAACCTGCCTATTCTAAATGGGTTCTGCCATCCGCCGCACCAACAGAAAACATAGGAGACTTTAAGGGGAAGGAACTTTAATAAAACTAGGAAACAATACAGGTAAGGCAAAGAGTCTAGTTTCTAAATGAAGCACCCAAAGTTACCCATCCCCTCGTGGGTAAAAGTCCATCCATATGGGATTGGCCCAGAGCAAGGCCCCAAAGCCTGCCCCAAGTCTAAAGCATCTTCCAGGGGGGACCCACAGAAAAGGGTCACAAACAACCAGACAAGCCCGGAAGGAAAAGAGCAAAATCAACATCAAGATAAAAGCTGCCATAGTCACCTCCCCATGGGTCTCACCCACATCTGTGTCACCCAGTCCACGACCAAAAGACAAGCGCAGTTTCTTCACGTGTCTCTAGGCTCCATGCGCCTCCTCCAGGTCTCCTGGCTCCATCCTGCTTCCTACCTCAGTCTCTTCTTCAGCTTCTCCTCTTCCTGCTCAGCTCCACCCTCCCTTGGGTGGGGCAGGGAACCTCCCCCTTTCCTGGGGACCACCCTGTTACAGAAACAGTGATGATGCATCTGAAAAAGGCAGCTGTCAAGACAGCCCAGGGTCAGAGGTTGCAGGAAAAGGGAAGCTTCTTACTGTCCGAGCCGCCTATCTTGAAGGGAAGGTGTCCAGAAAGGAGGATTCTGTCACAACTGGCTTAACGGAACCAACATTGTTAAAAACCAACATTGGTTAAAAAAAACCAACATTATTAAAAAAAATCTGTGAGGGAGTGCTGCTGACCTCAGAAGACCTGGCTGCCCAAATAACGGCACAGAATAAAAAAAAAAAAAAAAGTTCTTAAGGCAGCAGTCTGTTGTTCACAGTGGTGAAAAGCAAGTTCTCCCAACATTCTTCTCTCTGCAAAGATCATCATGTTTGCAAATAACACTTTTGCCACCAAAGCAATGTTTTCATCAGGGAGCTTGCAACTCACAGGAAAGGCTCCACTGACTCTGGGACTGGTGTTAGATGGGCACTCTCGCTTGTTTTAGTTCCTATCAGGATGCAGAGGGCTTTTGTTTTTTCATTCAGCTGGCTTTGTAATGTCCTTAAAACAGAAGCAAGGCAAATGTCCACTTTGGTTTCTCCTGGATAGTAAGAACACTGTTTTATTTAAATCTGGGGTCAATTCCTCAAAAATATCTTTGTTTTTCAGTCTTTGTGCTCTTATGCTTCCAGACACTTCTGTGGTCCCGAGATTTCACCATGTCCTGGCACTATTAGGCCCCTGTTGCTCTGAATTGCTGTGATGAAACCTGAGGCCTTGGCCTTCAGAGTGAGAGGTCACAAATCCAGAGGTTAATGTTTAGGTGGCTGTGGAAAGTTTCGGTGTGTGAGGCCGCAATCCTTGCATAAGATCACGTGAGCACCTTGCTGGAAACCACCTACTAAGGACACAGCTCACCTGCCTCTGGGTTCCCGCCTCCACTGTGCCTTGCCTTGGACTCTGATGGACCATGACACCAGGCTTTGAAAAAAGAAACTTTTATTGCAAAACAATTGGCAAGGAGGCAGGAGGGTAACTGGATCAGCCTACCGGATCAAGAAAGGGAATGAAGTTACACAGGTTTAGGGGACTGAGCTTGAGAACAAAGATGTTGCATTTAATTGGCACAGGAGCAGGCTAAGAGCGGGGTAATGTGGGGGAGAGGGGGGTTGCCGTCCCTGGCTGGCCACGGGCAGCCTGACATGGAGAACTGCCCGTCTTCAGGGCACTGGGGCTCCAAATTTCTGCTGTTGGGTCCCATACCCCTTCTCTGCATTTGCTCCCGTGCCCTGGGGCTCAGCTCTGGGTCATTTGCTTCTGCTTGCTCACATGCCCCGGGGTTCAGCTCAAGATTTGCCTCTGCTTGCTGAGGCCGGGGCATTTGCCAGTAAGGGTCAGGCCCCGGGGTGCTTGTGAAATAAACTTCCAGAAAGTTAGACAGGGAGTTTCTTGTGTGCTCCTGGCTCAGAGAGCGTTTTTAGCAGTTGGCCGTGGTCACGGCGTCTGCCCCTGCCCACCGCTGCTTCCCCTCCCAGCTGCATTCCTGTCAAGCCTGGAAGCCGCGTGGCTGCCCTCCCGCCCTCCCAGGCCTTTCCTCTGGGCGCCCCGCGGCCCCCGCCTGGAATGCGCACCCCCAAGTCTTTTCTGCATTGACAGATCAGACCAAAGTGCCTCTGCTCCGGCATCCGAGGTCCCACGGGCGCTCGGGCGCCTGAGTCGAGCCGGCTGGCAGCGGCCCGCGCTCGGGGAGCGCGTTCATGGGAGATGCCGGAGCCCGGCCGGGGTTGACTCAGCAGCCCCGGAGCGGGCCCAGGGCGCTGCCACGAGACTCGCGAGCGGCGGGGCCCGGAGGGCGGCGCGGGCCGCGCGGGGAACACCGGCTCGGACCGCCGCGGAGCCGGGCGCAGAGGCCGCAGCCCGGGGCTCCGCGCTCGCGCCGGCGTCAGGCGTTTCCCGGGCGACGCGCGGGCGGCGCGGACAGATGACGCCACGCAGAGGGGCGGGGCCGCGCCCGCCCCGCCCCGCCCCGCCCCCGGCTCCCCGGCTCCCCCTCCGGCCCCGCGGCCCGCGAGCGGCGCGGAGATCGGCGGCGGCCCCGGCCCCCGGCGCCGAGGTGGGCCCCGCGCCCGGGCGGTGGGGGCGGCGGGCGGCTCGTGCCGGCGCTGGGCCCGGGCCTGCGGTCGCGGCGCCGGCCCGGGGCCCGCGGGGGGGCGGGGGGGCGCCCCGGGAGTGCGGGCTGCCGGGGGGTGGGGGGGGCGGAGACTGTCCCCCGCGGCCTCGGGCGCGTGTCCGCAGCCGCAGCCGCTCCCGGCCCGCCGCGCCCGGTGCCCTCGCCGGGACGAGAGGCGGACGCTGCCCCCGGGCGCTCGCGCCGCGCCGGCCCTCGCTGGTCGCAGCCCCTGCGCGCGGCCTGCCCCGGCTCGGGGGACCTGCTCCGGCTCGGGGGACCTGCCCCGGCTCGGGGGACCTGCCCCGGCTCGGGGGACCTGCTCCGGCTCGGGGGACCTGCCCCGGCTCGGGGGGCCTGCCCCGGCTCGGGGGGCCTGCCCCGGCTCAGGGGACCTGCCCCGGCTTGGGGGACCTGCCCCGGCTCGGGGGACCTGCCCTGGCTCCGGCGACCTGCCCTGGCTCCGGGGACCTGCCCTGGCTCAGGCGACCTGCCCTGGCGCTCGGGCGACCTGCCCTGGCGCTCGGGGGACCTGCCCTGGCTCAGGTGACCTGCCCTGGCGCTCGGGCGACACGGCCAAGGGGCTTAGGGCGCAGCGTGGGGCTCGGTCGTGTTTGAGCACCTCGACTGACCCTGGGCAGCTTGCTTCGCGGCTGCCTGCCTCCTGTTTTCTCACCTGCAAAAAACGAGTGTCCTGGTATTTCTGGGGTGGCCAGGGCACCTTGACACTGCGCTTAGCTTGTCTGACTGGGGGTCGACTCTGCTGGGTTAGTGGGCAGGAAGAGGGCCACCCCGGGACCCTCAAACCTGCCTGGTCTAAATGGGTTCTGCCCTCCATAGGCAGATCTGGGATGAAAGAGTAAAATCAAAACCCAAGTGGAGACAAAGGCCACCATGGTCAGCCTCCCACGGCCCCTCCCCCACGTCTCTGTCACTTTCAAGTCCATGTCCCCCCGAGTCCCTGGGGCAAGCCCAAGGCCGAGGAGCCAGCACCTTCTTCCCACATCTCTGCCCCAGGGCCCGTCCCAGTGGGGTGCTGGCCTAGTCCTCTTCCACCCCCTTCCTTAGGTGGGCCGGGAACTGGCCCCTCCCCTTCTATGCACATCCCCTTGCGGCCAGATTCCTACTCCCCTGGTCTCAGCTCTGAGCTCCAGACAGACCAGGTTCTGCTGAGCTTCAGCTCTGCCACGAGAGGGGGTAAGTGCCCGCCCAGCTGCTGGGAGGGCTAGCTGCCACGGGGTCTGTCCCGGGCGCTCCCAACGCCCCCGTTCCTGTGCCCCCTCACATCGAAAAACCAGGGCAGAGATGGTGCCCCCACTGCTTATCGGCTGTGGGGACTGACCACACTCAGCCGTCCTAGACTGTTGTAAGATCCCACAGGGAGGATCTTAAAGTTCCCTTGGGTCTTAAGGAGGGGGGTGCTCTGTGCCCAGGCTCGCTCTCCTGTGTCCTCCAGCTCGTGTCTGGGGGCGGAGGTGGACAGTTGGAGCCTGCCCTGTCAGCGAGGTGCCACCTTCTGCAAACCCAAGGCAGTGAGTGCTTTGGTTGACAGAGCTGGGCCGTGGGGGTGCTGTTGGTGGGCACCAGATGTCTGTTTGCCCACTTGTCAGATAGGGGCAGCACAGAAGCCTGCTCAGAGGCTCTGGGGTAGATGTCCCCGTCCAGGAGGGCTGTCAGGGTACACGGGGTGCTGTTGGCTGGAGCCCGAGAGAACTTCCTGGGCCAGGGGTGTGGTTGAGGCTGGGGAGTGGCCAGAGCAACTGGAAGAGGGAGCTCTTGAGAGGGCCATGGCCTCTGGGCTCTTCTGGGTTCCCCCGGGCTGCAGGTGCTGGCCCTCCCGGGTGTGCTGACCTCCATGCGGGAGGGAGCGGGGCTGCCCCTGGGCTCTCCCGGGCCGGTGTCGACTCTTGCGGGCAGTTGCGGGCAGTTCCCTCAGAGCTGGAGCTCTTACTTACAAGCTGGAGCTTCTTACTTACAAGGTTGATGAGACGGTGGGCGGTGTGAGCACACAGACTGGACGCTCCCTCGGGCCCTGTGCTCTGTGCTGGTGATGGAAGCCATGGCGCCCATGTCGGAAGGCGGCCCGGACACGCTGCTGCCAGATTTCCCCCGGGGGCCCCTGCAGACCTACCGGGCCCGCGCCTCCTTCAGCTGGAAGGAGCTGGCGCTGTTCTTGGAAGGGGAGGACCTGTTGCGCTTTAAGGTGAGAGCGTGTGGGTGTGCCCGCCGTCCAGGCGGGGTCTGGCGGGAGATGTGGGCCCGCCGTCCAGGCGGGGTCTGGCGGGAGATGTGGGCCTGCTGTCCAGGTGGGGTCTGGCGGGCAGCTGTGGGCCCACTGTCCAGGTGGGTCTGGCAGGCAGCTGTGGGCACCCTGCCTGGGCGGGGTCTGGTGGGCAGCTGTGGGCCCGCTGTCCAGGTGGGGTCTGGCGCATCTCACTTCATCAGCAAGGACGGGCCTTTCTTGCTCCATGAGCCCTGGGCCCTGTCCTGACCCTGACAGGGCACAGGCCCATCTGTGCACCCCATGGGGAGCCCCAGGGGGTGTTTGAGGAACGCAGGAACAACAGACATAGACTGTTTGGCTGAGCCTTGGCCCAGCTGTCCCCACTTTTCTGGGCCACATTGTGCGCAGCAGGCTGTGGCTTGGGAAACAGCAGGAGAGTGTGGGGAGACCCCCCAGGCCTCCTCACAGCCGCCCCGGCTCCCCACCTGCAGCAAACCGTCTTCACAGCTCTGGAGAACGACCCCCTCTTCGCCCACCCCCCGGGCGGCGACCTCCCGCTGGAGAAGTACCGGGAGCTGACCTTTCTGCGCTGCCGGCGGCTCCTGGAGCTGGACTTCCTGCGCCTGGAGGACATGGTCAGCTGCCCTCTGAAGGCGCTGGCGCTCATCGGGTGCCTGGGCATGTACGACTGGTCCCTGGGGACCAAGTTCTTCCTGAACATGCTGGTGAGTGGCGGTGGTGCGGCCCTTACGTCCAGGCGCACAGCATGCCAAGGGGGCGGCCTTGTCTGGCCAGTGTGGGCCGGCCGGTCAGGCCCCGCGGGGGTTCATGCATTCGGGGGGTGTTTAGAGGTATCTAAAAAACAACACACAAAACCAGCCCAGGCTGGAGCGCGGGCAGCCCTGTGTGTGGAGGGAGGGTCAGCATTCGGCGTGGGGGGTCAGGTCCTGCAAGAACAGGGGCTTTGGGACTTTCTTTGCTTTGTTCTGAAAGAGAAGAAAACCGTTAAGCGAGAGAAGGGGCGGCGGGTGGGAGGCAGAACCTAGGTCCTGGGCTGCGTGTCGCTATGGAGGCGGTGCTGCCGGTGCCCCCAGCGCCTCCGGGTATTGTTGGGTGGAAGGACTCTCGGCCCTTCACGCCCCCCCCATCCCCCACTGTCTCCTGCTGTCCTCAGACCCTTGACCTCTGGGCATCATGAACTGCTTGGGACAAGGAGCTGGGCCCGCCACCTAGGGCTCCGGCCAGGGCCGCTCTCGGGGAGAGACGCTGCTGGCCGGCCCTCATCCTGAGACGTGAGGGGCGGGAGGCACGCGGGGCCGGAGGGTCCAGAGGGGCGCCCCTGCCGCTCACAGGCCGAGTTCTGTCTGCAGACGTTTGCCTCGGCAGTTTACAGCTCTGGCTCCGAAAGGCACCTCAAGTACATCCCTAAGGTCTTCAGCATGGAGGTGAGTCAGGTGCATGGCAGCCGTGAGCCCCTCAGAGGTTGGCGTGATGGCGGGTCACCGGGCCCTGGGGCAGTGACGCCGGCTCTCCCCTGTCTGTGGGGCCCGGCCCTCAGCTCAGCCTCTCCGCGGCAGCCTGCCTTCCCGGCCTCGGAGCCCCTCTTCGCAGCGGCCCCTTCATGGGTGGTGCTGGGTGGCCCCGGCCCCGCAGTGGGCAGGGGCAGCTTGGGGCTGGGAGGGGGCTGGCCCTTCGAGGAAAGCTGGCGGCGGCCCCGGTGGCTGCAGGGAGAACTCCTGCCTCACGCCAGCCTCTGCTCCGCGTAGATCTTTGGCTGCTTTGCCCTCACGGAGCTGAGCCACGGGAGCAACAGCAGAGCCATCCGCACCACGGCGCACTACAACCCCGCCACCCAGGTGGGCCCGGGCCCCTGGCCGTCGGGGTGGGACGGGCTGGGCGGAAGCCTGGAAGGCATGGGATGGCCACCGTCGCGTGGGGGAGGGGTCGGAGGGGCCCGGGAGACCCAGCTCCTGCCCTGAGGCCCGGGTGGGCGTGCCTCCTGGTCAGGCTGGTGATGTTGCCTGGAGCTTGCTTGGCTCACCCAGCGCCCTGCGCCGGGTGTTGGGTTTGGGCTCCCCCACCTGCCCGCCCACCTCCCCGAGTCCCGCGGTGGGCCTGGCTCTCGAGGCAGAGATACGAGCACATGGAAGCCACGGGGGTGGGGGGGAGGGAGGAGGGGCTCACATGCCCGGAGCGCCCTGACCCACCCGCCCTGCAGGAGTTCGTCCTCCACTCCCCCGACTTCGAAGCCGCCAAGTTCTGGGTGGGCAACATGGGCAAGACAGCCACGCATGCCGTGGTGTTCGCGCAGCTGCACACGCCGGGGGGCCGGTGCCACGGGCTGCACCCCTTCATCGTGCAGGTAGGTTAGGTGCGCCGCACGGGCGGGCGCCGGGGCCTGGGGCGGGGTGCCTTTGCCCAAGTGCAGGCCCAAGTCACCGCCTGCCTTAGTGGGAGTGGCCGCTGGGCTGCCCGCCAGGGTCACACAGAGTCTCGCGGGTGGAGCCCCCTCGGCTGTGGCCTGTTCCCAGCAGGAGGCCGGGCTGTGAGAGCTGCGTGGTCACTGGATGGCCAGCACTTGTCCCGCAATGGTTTTGTTTCGTTGTTAGAAAATCACCTTTTGGAGATGGTTTCGCCTCTCTCCACCTTCCTCCGGTTTTTATCCCGTCTTAAGAAGTCTTTAAAAGTTCTAAATGTTCACAACCCTCGTGGAAGACTTCGGACAACTCTTACTGGACGTCGGTTTCTGTTGGGTTTTAGCCTTTATTTTGTTTTAAATATCACGACTGTAAAGTTGAAGCAGGTTAGAGGCTGGAACACGAGAGAGAATAAACCAAACCCTGAGCGCCCAGCTCCAGGCCGCTCCGCCGTCCGCACCAACTCTGCACTGTGCAGCTGGCGTGGGCTGGGCCCGCTCTGGGGGGCTGTCCCTGCCATGGGGGGCATCAGCGGCCACCCCGACACGCCTGCGTCCCAAGCTGTGACACCGCGGACTTCGCCAGCCACTGACAGGTGTCCCCAGGGGCGCTGCCGGCCTCTCAGCCTCCCTCCCTGCAGACTGTGGGCGAGTCTGTGGGGCGTTCCTTCGGGCAGACATGCGGCAGGCAGGCGCCCAGCGTCCTGTCAGTCATCGCCACCCGGGGAGCCGGGCCTCCCGGGCTCGAGTGTGGCCCACGCCGACCAGCTCCTGTCTTAGCCAGGCAGCAGCAGCGAGGCAGGGACCCGCCCCCAGTTCCGGAGGCCGGGCAGGCTGCGGCGCCCGCTGCACACGTGTCTGTGCCCCGCCCCCTCGTCGCTCCTCCTCCGACTCCGCAGCGCCTTCCTCAATGCATTCCGGCCCTTCTGGTGTCGGGGTGTGCTCCGAGGGGCCCTTGCTGACCCGTCCCTGGAGCCCCGTGGAGGGCCGGGGCGCAGCACTCACGCATGTCCCGGTCCTCACGCTGCCGTCTGGCTTTGTGCTTTGTGCAGATCCGGGACCCGAAGACCCTTCTCCCCATGCCGGGCGTGATGGTTGGCGACATCGGGAGGAAGCTCGGGCAGAACGGTCTGGACAATGGGTACGCGCTGCCCTGATGGGGGGTGCTGCTCTCCCCGGGGTCGGGGCCCAGGATGGAGGGTCCTGCGCAGCGCAGGCTGTGGGCCGCTCCGCCGGCTCCTGTCCACCCACTCACACAGTCCCGGCCTGGGAGCGCCCCCAGCAGTGGGGACACACACGCCCCTCGCAGCTGCGCACCTGGCTGCGGGGCTGCCTCCTGCTGGGCTCAGGTGGCCGGCCCATCCACCCCCTCTGGCCCGGGCTGTGCACAGAGCCAGCTGGTGTTGGCACTGCTGGGTTCCCACCAGGCCCGGCGGGGCCCCCATGTCCACGCGGCCCTGTCTCACAGGGCTGGGGGCGGTGTGGCTGGGGCTGCAGGTGCGGGCGGCGGCAGACAGGCGCTGTCCGACCCTGGATGCGAGAACCTGGCCTTCGCCTGGACCCGTGCTGGGGCCAGGCCGGGCGCAGGAGGTGCGGTGTTGACTCCGTGTGCTGACTCCGAGCGTGTGGGCACGTGTGCGGCCAGGCCGGGGCCCCATGGTGGGGCCTCTGGAGCAGCGCTCCTCGCCGTCCACCTGGCTTACAATCAAAGTCTGTGACGGAGTTTCGCTGGGTGCCCCAGGACTCGTGCTCCTGGCTGGTGTCTCTCACCGCGTGCGCCGGGAGCAGGGGACCTGCAGGCACACTGTGCGCCGAGCAGTGGACCCAGGGGCCGGCCCCCTCCTGCTCGCGTGGGGACACGTGGCGAGTACCAGAGTGGGGTCAGCCTCGCGTCCACAGCTCTGCTGCACGGCCGAATGCGGGTCACGAAGTGGCCACACACGGTCCGGGAGCCTCTGCAGCCAGGACTTCGCAGGCCAAGGTCCGGCCTCCCCAGGACGGCCAGCAGGGGGCACCCCGGGTCTGGAGCGCTGCTTGGCTTTGAAATCCTGAAGTCTCATCAGTGTTAGAATTCAGTGGAGTTTTTTTTTTTTTTAATTAATTTATTTATTTAATGCAAGCACTGGGTACAGTCAGAAGCGCGGGAGGGTGAGAGAATTCGCCAGAGCCAGAGCGGGGAGCAGAGCAGGCAGAGCGACGAAATTCACACTGCTGTGGGGAGCAACGAGCGTGGCAGGAGAGGTCTGCGCGCCATGTGGGACCCTCCTCCGGTGGCCGGGGAGCTGCTGGGGATGGAACTGGCGCTGCAGGGCTGCGGGCAGCTTTGCAACCCAGAGCTCAACCACTGCGCCGCCGTGGGGTTTTTTTGAGTCAGTTATTTAAGAAAAAAAAAAGGTAATAATTTGACAATTTGTAGGATACATTTTGTCACTTCGTAGGAATTCCTGAGTTCACGGCGGCTTTCTGGAAACCAGGGCAAAAGCACGGATGAGGCTGGGCAAACGGTGGAAAGCAAGGCCCGGAGGCCCTGCCCCGTGAGAGCCGGGACCCCGGCGGGGCGAGCCCTGTTCGCCCTGTTCCAGCTGGGGCATCGTCCGGGAGGGTGGGCCCTGTGTGGGGCGCGGGCACAGGGGAGGCCGTGGCCACAGGGCAGGCGGGGGCCAGGCCGAGGGCTCCTGCACCCGCCGTGCGCACCCCAGGCCAGCTGGGACACTGGAGCCCTGGCTGCCTGGCCATCACTCTGGCCCCTCTGGCTTTTCTGGGCAGCTTTGGGGACGCGGCCTAGAGGAGCACGTGTGGGGGCTGCCCTCGTGGCACCGAGCCCCTTCCTGCTGGCCACTGTGCTCGGGCCTCCCCGTCTCTGGGAGTAAGAGTGACGGGGTCCACTCTCTGCAAGGGGCGTGCTGCCTCTGCAGAGGCTCCTGGCACCGCATCCTCGGCTCCCGTGTGGCAAACTGGTGGGGGGCTCACGGCCTCCACCATGCCCATCAGCCCCGTGGGGCCCCAGTCCAGTGGCTCCCTGCTGGGCGGCCTCTGAGGTGCTGGCCTGCCGCTGACCTCGGCCACACAGCTGGGCTCTGGACGGACACCGCCAGCCTGGCTCCCAGATCCCTGCCGCCTGCACCCGGCCCCCTTCCCTGGCAGGTGCCACTGTGTCTCCCCAGAGGCTGCCCTGGAAGTGGGGCTTTGGGGAGACACCCCCACCAGAGGGTGACAGCTCACCTTGTTGATTCACCCCAGTGTTTACTAAATGTCTGGGAGGTTCTACTGCCCAGGGCCCCGTCATAAAACGGTGAATAAGCCCCTGGCACTGCTGATGAGAAGCAGGCGGCTCAGCCAGGAGCCTGGACATTGGCCATCACTCAGCAGGGTCACTTAGAGTGCTGTCGTGGGGGTAGAGAATCCAGGTGGGCTTCCTGGAGGAGGTGGCAGCCCTCGGCACCTACTTGACTGGCTGCCCGTGGGTCAGAGTGCCTGCAGCTGCGAGGAGCCAGCTGCCGGAGCAGTCAGGGCCCCTTGGAGGACTCGCCACCTCTTCTGACAGGCTTTTGGTGCCACAGGATGAGCCCAGGATGGGACCTTCTCAGGCGGGACGTGGCCATCGGCCCCTGTGTCTGCCCATAACGGGTGCAGCTGAGGGGGTGTGCCTGGGAAGAGCCGCAGGGAGCACTGTGATCAAGACAGGATGTGGGAGCTGAGGGAGGCAGGAGGGGGTCCGCTGAGGAGCACAGGGCAGGCTGGGGGCCTCCAGGAGGGCCAGGTGAGGGCTCTGACCCTGGCGGGGCCTGGGTGCAGGACAGTGGGCAGAGGCCAAGCGGAGGGGACTCGCTGTGTCCTGTGGTTTAGGACAAGGACAGTGTTTTGTCTCATCTAGGGAGTGCCTTAAGAAATGGGGTGTGCCCCTGGAGGGGCTCAGGCTCTGGGCCGGTCTGGGTGCATCTGCCATCGGTGGGACGTCTGCTCCTTTGTGTGACCTTGGCCTTCGACGGCAGTGGCCCAGGCCCTCCTATGGGGACAGCCGCAGAAACCCTCACTCAGCTGCCTGGCGGCCACGCGGCCCTCCCAAGAGGCTGACCAGGGCGGCTCTCGCTGGGCTCTGGGGCTAAGGGCTCCGTTTAAAACCTGTCACCTGGCAGAGACTCGCCTGGGAGCCCGGGGTTCTGCCCTGTAGAAGCAGCACCCCCTGCTTGTAGCTCCGCTCTATGCGTGCGCAGGGGCCGTCGCCCCCACCCAGGTCCCCGGAGCCCCAGCCCTGTGCCAGCGCTGGGAGCTCGACTCCTGAAGGCCAAGCTGACCCCACGCTGACCCCTTGTACTTTGACCAGCTTTTTTGGTTCACGGTGGGGTTTCCTGTCCGCTGGGTCTCCCCCACTGTCCTTGTCTCAGGGTGCTGGCTCCTTCCCGCGTCCTCTGCTCCATTCTCTGTGTGCCAGACGGGGCTGTGCGCTGGGCCCGTCTGACCACGGGTCTGTCCCCACAGCTTCGCCATGTTCCACAAGGTCCGCATTCCGCGCCAGGACCTGCTGAACCGCACCGGAGACGTCACCCCCGAGGGTGCCTATGTCACCCCCTTTAAGGTACAGCGTCTCCGGCGGGTGTGGGGAGCCCCTCTCTGAGGGGATGGAGACCCACAGGCTGCCGGGTCAGTGGGGGCAGCCTCTGTGATTGGCATCCCACGAGGAAGGGGCTCTGGGTCAGCCCACCCCCAGGGCCCCCCAGTGACCGTGGAGGCAGCCTCACCGCTGCCCAGGAGTGTCCACTCGCCTCACTGCCTTGCCAGTGCTGGTTCCAGAGGGTTGAAAGGTGAAGTATCACCTCTCTGACTGCCCACAAATGGGGGCGGGGGCAAATAGCTCTCTGTGGTGTCCAGGGCTCCCCACAGCCTAAAATTCACTGTGTGGTGGACACGTCTGAGGCCTTTCTCAGAGGTGGCCCGGGCTGGAGTCACTGGTCATGCCCCAGAGTCCAAAACACACGTGATGGAGGGAGAGCGCGCAGCGCTGGGCACTCCCCGCGGGAGGGCGGATGGAGGCCTAGGGCCCGGGGTGCAGGGGGCACTCCCGCAGACTCATCGCCAGAAACGCCTGCATGGAGACGCTGAGACGGGGAGGTGACCTGGACCGAGGCCTCGGGAGTCCCGTGGTGGGGGGCAGGATGCGCCCCCACGCCCGGCCGGGGACTGAAGAACTTCCCCCGGAAAGTCTGGAATGTCCCGAGGGGCAGCGACCTGACCGCAGGGCGCAGGACGAATTTTGCCTTCAGCTTTCTGCAGCCTGAGCGCTGGGCGGGGGTGCTGTCCCCATTGGGGGTGTAACTTTAGCCCCCCAGGCCCTGGCCGCATGCAGGGATGTGACAGAATGACCTGTGGCTTTGAAGGAAACCGTGCGGACCCCGCAGTGGACACAGTATTAGGAAAGGCCCAGAGCGGAAGAAGCGGGCCCTGGTGGGGCCGCAGGGCGAGGGGGTGGGCTTGGGCTGGGGTCCATGTGCCTCTGCCCCAGGGACGCCTCCTGACGGCAGGCTGGAGGTGGGCGTCCGCCGTGATGGCTCCTTCTAAGGGGGCGCCGACCGGCAGGGTCCCCACGCCCTGAGAGCCGTGGTCCAGGCAGGATGGGGCTGCCAGGCAGGGTCCACATGTGATAACCGGTGGGCAGCGGGCCCACCTGGGCCGCCACCCCCGTTGCTCCCCGTGGGGGCCCGCTTGCTCCCCGGTCGGCTGGTGGCCACACGGGTGCGCCCATCCCCCCGGGGCCTCCCTCACCTTCCCCGGGAGGCCCCGGGCACCCTGCACCAGCTGGCCGCTGCCTCCTCTGTTCCCCCAGGACTCCAGGCAGCGCTTTGGGGCCTCCCTGGGCAGCCTGTCCTCCGGCCGGGTCTCCATCGTGGGCATGTCCGTGGTGAACCTGAAGCTGGCCGTGTCCATTGCGGTGCGCTTCTCGGCCACGCGGCGCCAGTTCGGCCCCACAGACGGGGAGGAGACGCCGGTGCTGGAGTACCAGATGCAGGTGCGGGCGCGCCGGTGACTGCGCCGTCTCGGACGCGTGCAGATGCGCTTCCACCCTCCCCCTTCACCACGGGCGGGGCACGCGGGGGCCAGGGCAGTGGACGCCCTCACCTTCTGGGTGGGTGCGCAGCTGGCGCTCCCGGGACGCACCGTGTGGGCTGTGGCTGGTCTGCTTGGGCGCGGGCCCCGGGGTGAGGGCTGCCGGCGGCGCCCCTGGCAGGCAGGCGGCGAGTGGCCCTGGGAGGGCCCTGCATGCGGTTGCAGCGGCCCACACGGCGGGCAGCACTGTGCCCCCCGCCCCCACCGTCTGCCCCAGGGTGGGCCGGGCTGGCAGGGGCAGGTGACGGCGTCCGAGGAAGCCAGCACAGAAGGCCGCTGCTTCCCAGCTCGCGTCTTTCCTGTGCCGCGAACGGTCTGGACCGTTGATGACAAGGAAAAGCAGGGTGTCCTCACCCACCGGGCACCCCACTCCCGCCAGAGCCGTGTGCGTGGCCTGCACCCTGCTGGGGGCCCCTCAGGCGCCTGACCTCCACCCCGTGGGCGCTGGCGCTGGCAACGGTGCCTCTGCAGGGGGCGCGGGGAGGATTGGGCGTGTGGGAGCCCCGGGACCCGCAGCCCCCCCCACGTGTGTGATGTCACTGTGCCGGCCCAGCCCCCCGCCGAGCCGAGGGCCGCACTGGGGCAGAGACGCCCCTCCAGGAGGGCGTCCCGACTGCGGTTTTCCCGTCTGGCTCGGGCCCAGCTCCACCCTCCACAGGCGCAGGCGGCCGGGCCCTCCTCCTGCGGACCCCTCCGCCCAGTGGGCACTGGGGGGCCCTTCCCAGTGAGGGGGGGGCAGTGTAGGCTGCGGAGCATCAGGTGGGAGGAGGCGGGTCCGGCCTCACCTGCCCACGCGGCCTCCGGGCGCCCCTCCCCTCAGCAATGGCGCCTCCTCCCGTACCTGGCCGCCGCCTTTGCCCTGGATCACTTCTCCAAGTCGCTCTTCCTGGACCTGGCCGAGCTCCAGCGGGGCCTCCTGGGCGGTGACCGCAGCACCCAGCAGGTGAGGCGGACGCGGGGCCTGCTGGTGGACTCTGGCTGGGCTGGGCCTGCGGGGCTCCAGCGCGTCCGTCCCAGGGCGTGGGGGCGGGCGGGGGTGCCCGTGGGAGGGGTCCACTCCCGCCTCCCGGGCTGTGCTGACTCGGCGCCCCCACCCCTGCTGTGAGCTCAGCTGCTCTCCTGGACCATGTGGCTGGACACAACCCACCCTCCCGGCCCTCAGCAGATCTCGGGCGGAGCTGGTGGGAGTGGGGCTGACGGGGGGGCCGGTGCCCACAGCATCCAGCGGGTCGGAGGTGGGCCCTGCGGACGGAGCCCTTGTGGTTCTGGGTGTCTGCTGGGGGGGTAGGTTCTCCGCAGCCCCTGGCGCTGCAGCCTGGGGGTAAAGTGGGAGTCAGAAATGCATGTGGGGACAGATTGGGGGTGTGGCACCTCGACCACACACTTGGAGTAGTCCGTGTGACCCCAGGAGGCGGGTGGTGTTGGGGAGGCCGGCAGGGCCTGCTGCTGGGCAGTGGGGGAGCCTGTCTCCCCTCAGCATGAGCCCCGGGCCTCTGCCAGTGACACCGGGTGGGTCTGCAAGAATGTTCTGGAGTGCGCTCGGACCCGCACTGTGGCCCACACCGGGCTCAGGCCTTGTGGGGCTTGTCAGCTGCACTCCTGAAGTGGGGTGCCTGCGAGCCGGTGTGGGCCAGGTGTCGCCCCTGAGCCCCACGCTGCTCCCTGCATCTCTGCCGTGTCCTGGCCCTTCGTCCTGGTCTTCCGGCGCGGCTGGCCCTTGCACAGCGCCTGCTCATTCCTCGTGTGTGAGCTGTAGGGAAACTGAGTCAGGGTGGATGTTCTTCTGCCATCGGCTTCCGGGCTGCGCCCCGAGACCCGGGGCAGCTGAGTGCACGCCCCGGGGGGGGGGTGACCAGGGCAGCTGAGTGTGCGCCCTGGGTGGGGGCGACTGGGTGTCAGGCCAGGTGGGTCCTTGTGAGGTCCCCGCAGAGTCTCTGCGCCTGTGGGGCATCTGCAGTCAGGCTGCAGGGCCATGGGCCTTGATTCAGCCGAGCCTGTGTCTGCGGCGCCTCTTCTCACCCGACCTTGCTCCCCCCCAAGGCAGAGCTCGGACGTGAGATCCACGCGCTGGCGTCGGGCGGCAAGCCCCTGGCCTCATGGACGGCCCAGCGGGGGATCCAGGAGTGCCGCGAGGCCTGTGGGGGACACGGCTACCTGGCCGGTAGGTTTTGGAGAGGGGGGCGCCTTCCTGTCCTTTCCCTGCCCGACCAGGCGCCAGCAACCTCGGTGCCCACGCCCTTCTGCGCCCTCAGCTGCCTGGTGGTCGGCACCACGCGATTCTGCGGCCCCGCCAGCAGTCGTGACGCTTGAGGGTCGGGCCTGTCGGGAGCTGAGGCTGGCCCCTGCCCCCCAGCCCCTGTGCCTGATGCCCGCCGCTCCAGGCGGGCCTGGCTTGGAATGACGACGCGTGGAGAAGCCGCGAGCCCAGCACACCCGAGCAGAGCTGGGGGCCGCGGCCACCGCGTCTCTTCTGACCAGGCCGCCCCAAGAGGACAGTTGTCTCTCTTGGTGTTGGCTGTTGTGTGGGCAGCTGGCGTGTGGTTGGAGCCCGGCCTCAGTGGCCTGGGCCCGCGGGGCTGCCGGTGTCGAGTGGGGTGGCCTAGGCACAGCAGGCAGGGCTCGGAGGGCAGCCGGTCAGGCCGGGTGTGCTCAGCACGGGGCGGGGCCTGTGCGGCGCCTTGGCTTGCCCTGGCCCTGGAAGGCCATCGTCACTGTGCAGTGCCCCTGCCGGCATCCTGTGCGCTGGCCCTGGGCAGCAGGGGGCCCGTCCGGCCCTCAGGGCCAGCGCCCGTTCTGAACAGCGGCCGTTCCCCTGCAGCCATGCTGGAGGCTCTGGCCGAGTTCAGGCGCCCGGGCAGTGGCCCGAGGTGATCACGGATGACGAGGGTCTGTCAGGGCCTTGAGTGGGCGGCGGGCAGTAGGCTCGAGGCCTTGGGCCCGGCCCTCCCTCCCCGCGCTGACCGGTGGGTGCCTGTGGCCATGTCAGCCCCTTTCGTCTGTTCTCCCTTGGCTGCTTGTAACACATGGTGAGGCTGCCAATTGTTTAGCTTTGCTGAGATTTTATTTTATTTGTTAAAGATTTGTTTTAATTATTTACGCATAGAGGAACTGGGGTACAGGCCAGAGGTGTGGGGGGTGAGAGGATTCACCAGAGACAGAGCGGGGAGCAGAGCAGGCAGATCCACTGACACAGCTGAGGGGAGCAGCGGGGAGACAGGAGAGGTCTGCTGCGCCATGTGGGTAGCTCCCTGGCCGGCCAGGGATCGACTCGCGCTGCGGAGGCTGCGGACAGCCTCATAGGCTGTGTCCTAACCCCTTGCGCCACCAGGGAGGCCCCCTCACTCGGGTCTTAAACAGGAGAGGAGCTGAGGTGTGCAGAGCTGAGAGTCCCCAGGCGAGGGAGCCGGGCCCGGCCTGTGCGGCCAAGTCTGCAGAGGAGACTCACAAGTCCAGTGAAAGTGCCCTTTGCAAAGTCCCCCAGCTGTGCGGGTCAGTGGGCAGCCCCGCCTGGGCAGCGTGCGGGGAGGACAGTCGGGTGGCAGGGGCCACAGCCTTGCGGGGCCGGGGCCTGCACAGAGCCTGGGTTAGACCCTCGCAGCCTCTGCTTGACCAGACAGGCCAGGAGCCCCGCTCTGCCCAGCCTCCAGGAGGGACCCCAGGAAGGAACCAGGCATCTCCAGACTCTTGACAGTCTGTGTGAAAGGAGGGGTCGCGCGGCTGTGGAAGGAGGCTCCCTGACGCGCTGGGGGGCTCTGCTGGGTACCCTTGACCGCGGGCACTGCCTGCTGGCCGCGCTCTGTGTGCCCAGAGCTGGGAGGTGCAGGATGGGGGCCGGACTGGGAGGAGCAGGTGGGGCTGGGGCGGGTGGGCTGGGGCACACCGGGGGTCCCCACCAGGGCCGGGGGTGACACCCGGCCCATTGCAGTGAACCGCCTGGGTACTCTGCGGGACGACAACGACCCCAACTGCACGTACGAGGGGGACAACAATGTGCTGCTGCAGCAGACCAGCAACTACCTGCTCGGCCTCCTGGCGGCCCCCAGCCCCGGTGAGCCCAGCCCCCACAAGGCTCCCATGAGCCCAGACCCTGTGAAGCCCCCAGGCCCCCATGAGGCCCCCGAGAGGCCCTGAGGCCCCCATGAGGACCCCGGCAAGGCCCCTGCAGGGTCCCGGGGCTTGGCCCGCCGGTGTCTGGCCCGTGACCTGCGCCTGCGTTGGCGGGAAGGACAGCCGTGTCAGGTCACTAGCTGTGGCCGACTGTCTTGCCAGCTTGGGGGGTGGCCCCTCAGGACACCCTGGGGTCCTTGCTCCTCAGCCTGCGGGTCCCCTAGGTGGCACGCGCTTTCGGAGCCCCTTGAAGACTGTGGACTTCCTGGAAGCGTACCCCGACATCCTGGGCCGGAGGTTCACGGGTCTCAGCGGCACTGACCGCGTGGACGCCTCAGGTACCCTGCCCGCCTTCCCGTGACCCGGGTGGGCTCTGTGTGGGGCCGGGGGCCAGCGCGGGGTCAGGGCAGCGGTGCTGAGGGCTTGGCTCGGCCTGGCCACCCAGAAGGGCTCGGTTACGGCCGGCGAGTGTGGGAGACGCGGGAGGCCCGCGCCTGTCGCACGTCACCATCCCGCTGATTGCGGGGAGGCCACGCCCGGCTTCACGGAGTGCATGTCCGGGGCTGCGGGCCACGAGGGGCCACCTCGCAGCACCTGTGCCAGGCCCCGTCACCATCCCCCTCGCCCCAGTGCCCCTGGCAGCGTACGAGTGGCTGGTGTGCTACCTGCTGCGCGGCAGCCACGAGAAGCTGGAGCGGGAGAGAAGCGCCAGGGGCAGTGACTTCGAGGCCAGGAACAACAGCCAGGTGAGCTGCCCGCCTCGCCCGCAGCCCCTCCGCCCGCGGCCTGGTCCCGGCCCCACGCCTGGCGGGTGCCACACTCTGGCCGGCCCGTGGCCTGGCGCCCGGCCAGCGTGGGTGTCCTGCTGCGCGCCTGGCGGTGCTGGCCGCCGGCCGAGGTAGTGAGCAGTGGGACCTGGCTGTGGCGCCTCCCGGCGGCCCCACTCGCTTTCTCAGCTCCTCTGGCCTGGACCACGGCACCTGGTGGGTAGGCGTGAGCACTGGTCATGGAAGGCCTTGGCCCTGGCGCTGGAGGGCCTCCTGGCTTGCTCCCGGGAGCCCCTGCCCCGCCCGTCGGGTCCTCTGTGATCCAGCATGCAGGGCGCTCCTTACCTGGGGTCTCGGGGTCGTCTGGAGGTTGTGGGTGGGGGAGCTGGGGCGCTCCCCAACTGGGTCAGCCCTTCGGGACTGTCTGCGAGGCTCCACGCCTGCTCCGGGGAAGCCACCCAAGCCTGGTGTCCACCCTGCTGCTGCGCCTGCCTGGGGTGGAAGGTGGGCAGGGGAGGGTCTCCACCGGAGAGGCCCCTCAGAGGGCGGCTAGATTGTGAGGCTTCACAGGTGCGCTCTGTGGCTTAGACCTGTGAATTCAGCGCATGGCCCAGGTCAGTGAGACGTCAGTCCATTGGACAGCAACCAAAGCTCGGGCCGGCAGATGGCCTGGCCAGAGGCTGCTTCCTGCACCCTGGGCTGGGGGCCTGGGGCCAGGGCGCAGACCTTCGTCCTGTGCCCAGGGTGATGCCGCCGTGCTAGGCCTGCCCTCAGCACCGTGCTTGCTCCCCCAGGCCTACTGCTGCCGCCCGCTGGCGCTGGCCTTCCTGGAGCTCACGGTGCTGCGCAGGTTCCACCAGCTCACGCACGGCCCCAGCGTGCCCCCCTCCCTGCGCGGCCTGCTGGGGCTGCTCGGCGCTCTCTACGGCTTCTGGTCCCTCAGCCAGCACACGGCCCTGCTCTACCAAGGTGAGGCGCCCGGAGCGGCACCGCTTCCCTAGGGGGTGGTCCCCGGGAGGGGGCGCCTGAGAGACAGTGTTTGGGGGTGAGTTGCCCTTTGCAGGTGACCTAGCACCCAGCCCTGAACCCGCCTGTGCTTGCAGGCGGCTACTTTTCCGGGGAGCAGGCGGGCAGAGCCGTGGAGAACACCATCTTGGAGCTGTGCGCCCAGGTGAGTGGGGGTCTCCCGGGCGAGTGGGGGTCCCCGCGCAGCGCGGCTCTCCTCATCCCAGGGGCGGCCATGTCACACCCACGCCCCAGTCCGCCTTCCCTTCAGCCCCGCCTGGCGCGTTACTTGAAGGAAAAACCTGCGTTTTAGGAAAATTCTCGGGCGCCTTTTCTAAACTCCGTCATGCATGTGAGAAACGATCTGCGGGCGATGAGGAGAGGCCACCGTGGCCGCCCTCGCAGGCTCCGTTCCTGCCCTTGTAAACGCTGCCTTGCCTTCATTTTTCGGATGTATTTTCCGATATCTCAGCCGTTCGCTAAGGGAGGGTCCAGCCGCAACCGTCAGGAGCCGCCTCCGCCTGGGGCAGGGGGCCAGGCGCCTGGAGAGCCCCGCCCCCGGGCCGCCTTGGGGCAGGGAGCCGACCGGCGGCCCACCTGCAGGGCCGGCGCCAGCTGCTGTCACTCAGCAGTCACTGTCGGGGCTTCTGGGCCTGGCCAAGTGTGTGGGCTTTGTTTCCCGACAGCTGAAAGATGACGCGGTGGCCCTCGTGGACGTGATCGCGCCCCCCGACTTCATCCTGAACTCACCCATCGCCAGGGCCGACGGCGAGGTGAGGGCACCCCGCCTGTGGGGGAGGCCTGCAGTGCACCTGGGGCCGCCGGCAGCCGCTGGGCACCAGCTCCTGGTGCCTCCAGGGACTCGTGGCACTTGGGAAGTCCCCAGCCTGCCCTCCACGTGATGGACGCCCTGGTCAGCACCGGCCGCGGTGCCTGCTGTCCCCCCCCACCCCACCCCCCGCTTTCTTCTTCTGGGCCTGAGCAGCAGACACCTCTCGGCCAGTGCCAGGCGCCAGGCTGCCCTGCTGTGCGGCCCAGCCTCGCCCCATGTGAGGGTGCCTATGCCCGGTGATCCCCGGGTGTGCGCAGCCCCAGTGCCACCACCCATGCCGTCCCAGCGTCCCCATGGCAACATGGTCATTTCAGAGTGGTGAGGTCACACCCTGTGGTCTCCCAGTGATGACCGCTGGGTAGGATCTACCCCAGGCCATGCCGGGCCCGAGCCCGTGCCATCCCTGCCACCCCTGGGCTGTGCTTGGGCAGAGCCTGACGCTGAGGGGCCAGAACCACCCCCTGGGAGCGTGAGCTGTGCCCTCTGACCTCAGAGGGGGTCTCCCGGCTGTGAGGGGACGCGCTGACCAGGTGCTGCGAGGGAAGAGTCCCCCGGGGCCCACAGACGGCTGCAGGCAGAGGGTGCTGGGTCGTGAAACCTGACCTAGTCCAGCCCCTGGAGGACGGCCAGGCCCCGTGTCCTCCGGGCCAAGAGCAGCAGGGTGCTGGGGCAGCTGCCAAACGCTCTTAGCAGGTGTGGGCTTAAAGGAAAATGAGCCGTCATCCGCTCCCTGCTCCCGAGGAGGCGGCTGGTCTGCTGCCCCCCTCAGCCTTTGGCCCCGGGGGCCGGGGCCCCTCACTGCTCCTCCAAGGCCACAGCTGCTCTCCCCGGTGAGGCCTGCCTAGCCCTGGCAGGGAGGGTGTGCGGGCCCAGCCAGGAGGGCGTGTGCGGGGCCACCTCACAGTGTGGGCCTCACGCAGGCTGGCAGGGTCCCTGGGGCTGCGTCAGATTGAGGACAGAATGTCCACCTCCCACCAGAACGCCCCCGAAGGGCGAGTGGGCAAGTGGACGTGTGCGTCGTAACTGTTTCCCGCACCGTCATTTTCTGATGGCTCGGCGCTGGAGGGCGGAGGGGGCCGTGCGGACGACATGGGAGTCCCCGTGAGGTTTTTCTAAAAAGCGCGGTGGAGACGCCCCGTGTTGTAACACGGCTGCACCTGCCCGCCCCGCCATCATGGCGTCTGGCCCTTGCAGCTCTACGGAAACCTCTGGACCGCGGTCCTTCAGGAGAGCCGAGTGCTGGAGAGGGCGTCGTGGTGGCGGGAGTTTGCCACCAACAAGCCCGTCGTGGGGTGTCTGAGGTCCAAGCTGTAGCGGCCGTCGCGCCCTGGGCCGGCGGAGCCACAGCCCTGCCCGCAGGCCCCATCCACAGACCCTCAAAGCTGCCCGGACACACCGACCTCTGCGCCTGCTGCCTCCGTGCCCCAGCCGGGCTCCCCGTCCCAGGGCGGGGGCGCCGAGGGGCCTGAGCCGGCCGCGTCTGCTGGGGAAGCCCGTGGGAGGCCCCTCGCCACGGCCGGGGCGCCTGCCCTTGGCTCTGCACACCCCGTCTTCCCGGAGGGTCTTCGCAGAGCTCTGCTCCGGGACTCAGTGCCGCGGGCTTCCGCGTGGGGCCACGGGGGGCGAGACCCTCGCTTGTTTCCACGGCCACATGGGGCGGTCTCGGGCCTCAAGCCACGGAGTCCGCCTCCAGGGCACAGAGGCCAACCGGGCCCAGCGCTCGAGTGCGCTCTCGGAAAATGGCCCCCTTGGGGCGGTGCCGGCTGGCTGCCCGGGCTGGGGACCCCGCCCCCTGGTCTGTCCTGCCCAGACCGCCTGACGGGAGCCGGTGGACCCAGCTGCCCCCACGCGCAGCCTGCCCAGTGCAGCAGCTGGAGGTGTGGAGACGGCGTCGCGCGTCCCTCAATCAAGATGACGTTTGAAAACATCCCGCGGTAAAAACCCACGTGATTGGAATAAATTTTCAGACTTGAATGTCACCGCCTGCGCCCTCTCCCCGTGCCGGGCGGCAAAGCCACACGCTGGTCGGGCGCCTGCAGTCGGACGCCCCGCGGGAGAGGTGACCGCCGGCCGCGGGGCCCAGGCTTCCTTGACGAGACCCGTGCCTGCCCGGGGCCCACGCTGGCACCGCGGGCGGCTTCACCCAGTGAGGGTTCGGTGCTTGTGCCAAGCCTTGTGCTCGCGCGCGGGCCTGTGTCGGGCTTCCCCGCGAGCGCCCCCTCGTCAGGCGGACGCTTGGTCCAGTGAGCACGCGGGCCCAGGGCCTAGGGCCCTGCTTGGGCCGCCCGAGTGCTCCCGGCGCCCCGCATCTCCCCGCACATGGGCTGGCGAGGCTGCGCCCTCCAGGAGGGCAGCGGGGATGGCGGAGGGTGAGCCACAGCAGGCCCAGGCTGCCCGCTGACCCGGAGGCACCCTGGAGGGAGGGTGAGGGGTCTTCCCCAGGGTGGGGCCCGGCCTCCGCCGCCCACCTACTCCTGGTCCCCTGCCCAGCCCGGGGCACCCCGCTGGTCCAGGCTTCTCCTAGGGCAGATGCCCCTCACCTCGCTCTTCCCTTCGCCCAGTCACTGGCCCAGCGGCGGCCCACCCTAGGTCCCGTGGGGCCACGTCCTTAGGGTGACGTGGGGTGTGGGGCCAGATGCCATCTCCCCCTTTCACTGGACCTTGCCAGGCTGGGAGGGGGCAACAGTGTCCAGGAGCTGGACCTTCAGACCCCAGCCCTGGCCCACGGCCCCCCCAGACATGTGGGACCGGGCGTCCTCAGCCTGGCCAGGGCCTTGGGCTGCCCCACCGCACGGCCTCTGCTCCCCCTGCGCCCGTCTCCTGCCGTCCTGCAGGGCAGCAGGGTCTTGGGCTTTGGGCGTGGCCCGAGTCAGGTCGGTAAGCCCGAGAACCCAGTGTTCCCACGGGTTTCCAGAACATTCCACTGCTGTTTCCACTCAAGTGCAAGGACTGACCTCAGCCGGTTTCTGTTCCACCCGACTGTCCAGTGCCGCCCAGGGAGGAGGCCCAGCTGGCACCCGGGCGCCCGTGTTCCTCTGGGGCCGGGGGCCAGGACGTGACGGCCAAAGGTGAAGTGACCGTGCCAGCTGGGCCGCGCCCTTGGCCCCGGGGGGTCAGGCGGGCTTGTTCTCGCCCTTGACTGGATTTGGGTGTCAGTCCACTCCACACTGGAACGAGGAGGCCAGCGCCCGGCCACGGCTCGCTTTGGAGAGAGACTGGCCTGAGGCCTCACAAAGCCGTGGGGTGTGAGCCTCCCCTGCCCTGGGTGGGTGTCCCGTGGGGAGCGAGCCCCCCCGCCCCTGGTGGGTGTCCCGTGGGGAGCGAGCCCCGCCCCGGCCCCGGGTGTACGTGTTTCCTCTGGAAATCAAGTCTTCCTCTTGCCCCAGAGTGAGACTTGCAGGAAGGGCACTTCTTGGGCCGTCCCTGCTCCCGGCAGGTGCTGGCAGGCGATTCCAGGGTCAGCCTGGGCTGCACCCAAGGGCCCCCACAGAGCCAGGCATCTGCCCAGCCTGGCCATTCAGCCTGCACACTCACCCTCGCCTGGCGTCCCTCCATCGGACATTGCCGCTGCCTCGGGGTGCTGGGTGATGGAGGGCGCGTCGTTTGGCCGAGCATGAGGAGGCCGCCCCGGGCGCTTGGGGTCCACGTGCTGCCCCGGCCCCTCCAAGGACCCCTTCTGTTAAGGGCCTGCTCAGCAGCCCTGGGCCAGGGACCTACCAACCGTGATGGGGTTGTGGGGTTCGTGAGGCTCTGGGTCCTCTGTGCTCTCCTGGGCTGCAGGGCGAGTGCAGAGGCCATGGTGCTGGGGGCGCTGCCCGGCTGGGGCGTCGGGCCTGGAAGTGGGCGCCAGCCATCCTGGCCCCGGAGCTGCCACATGGACGCTCGAGAGGTCTGGGAGGGCTGGGTGCCACTGTGCTGCTGCCCTGGCCTCCCACTGGGCCCATGCCCCACCGCACTGGGGGGTGGGGGGAGCTGAGGGGCCGCAGGCCGCTCTCCACATGGGGCTCCGGTTGGGGTGCCGCGCACAGCCAGTTCCTGCACTCAGGACCAGCAGGCAGGGGCTGGACACTGGTTGGCCGGGAAAGGGGGCAGTGAGGGCGGCTGGGCCTGGTGGGGGAGGCCGGGGAGGGCTGGGGCAGCTGGGCATGTGGCTCTGATGGCCATGGGCTGTGGTCATTGAGACCGGCTGGCCCCAGACGGCCTCCAGACCAGCGCAGAGATGGCGCGCGCAGCCCGGGCCGGCCTGATGCCACAGCTGGGCGGGACACGCCCGGTGCTCACAGAGGGCTCGTCCCCCCTCCCGGCTGGGGTCACGGCTTCCGAGCAAAGGTCCTCTCGGCCACCGGTGCCCCCGTGGCCAGCCGGGAGGGGGCCTGGGGTGAGGCTGAGCACCACCCCGGAGCTGTCGCCTCCTGGCTATAGGGGAGACACTGAGGAGGGGGAGACGAGAACGTCCAGCCCAGCACAGCCCCTGGGTCCTCGCTGCCCAGTGCTGGCCCGACTGCAGCCACTCTCCCTGATACCCACTCCCCTCTGCGGGTCCTGGTGAGGACCCGGCTCCTGCGCAGCGCTTTCTCGTCCAGGTCACAGTACAAACATCATAGAGAACCAGACCCTCTCCTGTGCCCCGGGGCCTGTGTCCACGTCTCGATGCAGGCTGGACGTGGCTGCAGGGGGCAGAAGGACCCTGGAGCCCCCTGGCTCGTCCCTTCCACCTGCCTGGGACACGCACACCAAGTCCCGGACACCTGCCTCTACTGCCCGCCTGTCCCTCCTGCCATGGGAACAGGCGCTGAGTCTGCAGCTCTGGGAGCGAGGTTGCTCAGGTCGGCCAGCACACCCCCTTGCCTCACTTTCCTTCTTGAAATGGAAGAGTCCGAGAGCCCAAACCCACAGCCCCTCCCACCGCGGCCGGGCCCCCAGACCGGGAGGCTCTGGGGCGCTGCTCCAACTGCTGGGCGCCTGCCCCGGCGGGGCCCTGGGAAGCCTCGGGCCCAGTGCTGTCTGGAGCCGGCACGCGCGGCCACCACCCCCGGGTTCCGTGCGGAAGCCCAGCTTGGCTCGGCCCCCGATGAGGGAAGCGCCTGGCATTTCACAACTTTCCACCCTGGCAGGAGACGAACAGTATATTTTCCATCTGAAGTCACCGCGTCAGAGCAGAAACCTGAGCCTGAGGGTGTAAATATGGAGCTGGCACGGCAGGCGGCACGTGCCCCCAGTGCCCAGCCGCCGCGGGCAGGCGCAGACCCTGCTGCGGGCCAGCGGCCTCCTGGCTCAGCCTCGGGACGCACACGCCTTGCTCAGCCATTGCCCAGCACGGGGCTGTTTGCAGAGGCAAGATGGGGCCACTGGGCGGGCCCTGACCCCACCTGGCGGGCCCCCAGGGAGAGCAGGGCACAGACACACACGGAGGACGCCTGTGAGGACACGCCCTGCGCCCAGGAGGGCCGGACCCCGATCCAGTGCTCACATCACCCATGGTCGGGGCGGCCACCGGGGTTGTGGAAAGTCGCCCCAATGAGCACTTTCATCTCAATCTTGTTTTCCGTCTCAGCCCCTCCCCGGGCTCCAGGCCAGCTGCAGCAGGTCGGCTGCGGGAGTGGAGAGCTAGGGTGCTGCTCCCCCCCCAACTCCAGCCCTGCTGCTGGGGGCCGTGGTTGGAGGGGGTGTCCTGTAGCCCCAGCTCCTGCCCGGCCGCTGCCCCTGCCTCTGCAGCAAACCCCACGGTCACGCTCGAAGTCCCCTGTGCAGCGGGCATCAGGCCCCATCTCTGGGGGTGTCGGGGTGTTGCTGGGGAGGGACCCCTGTAGGGCTTCACCAGGCATAGCCGAAGCATGGGGGACATGACTCTGCTAGACCTGGGCTTCCCCCTCCGGCTCCGCCCCTGCCCCAGGGCCAGCCGTGCCTCTGGCTGCCCTTGGTCGCCCAGCCTCAGTCCCGAGGGCACGGGCCTGGCTCAGGCCAGCTGCTCCTGTCTGGCCCCTGGGCCCCAGGAAGCCCATGTGCTTCCCACAGCGGGGATACAGGCCTCTCCCCGGCACCCTCCCGCCTTACCTCTGCTCCTGGAGTGGCCCAGGGTGGAGCATGCGGGCCCTCTCCCTCCAGCAGGTGTCCTGGGGCAGGCTCTGGGGCCACGGGTAGAGGCAGGCCCTGTGTGGAGGCAGGAAGGGCACAGAGCAGGTTTTCTATGATCCGGCGGACCGGGGAAAGGAGGAGAGAGTCCCGGAGCCCTCGGTGACTTGTCAGGCTTTTATTGGAATTTACCAGGCACAGGGCAGGCAGGGGTGCCGGGGGCCGGGAGGCGGGCAGGCGTCCCAGCCCCCAGCAAGTCTTCACTCTGGGGTCCCCGGCGTCCTCTCACGTTCTCTCTGCTCTTCTCTTCTCCTGCTCCTCTGCTTCTTTCTCGGCTTCTGCTGGCGTCCCCGTGACGCAGCCCTTAAAAGCCCAGTCTCAGCCCAGGTGAAGCCCATCTCCCTAGGCCCACCCCCCACTCCAGGTGCCGGCGTCAGGCGTGCACTCAGGACCGCGAGGGTCTATCATTATGCCTCATGGCGCGAGGGCGGAAAAGCCTGATGCTTTTTACCTTACCCTACACCATACCCCCAGGTGGGTGCCTGCCCGATGGCACCTGCCTGTCACCACCGTGATGTGCCGGTGCCGTGGGTGTCTCTGAGGGTGTAGGGTGAGTTGATGAGACTGTCACGCCGCCGGCCTCTGTGGCCTCCACCTGCGGCCTTCACTGTGCTGACGCGGGAGGCGTGCGGGCGGGCACGCAGCCTGATGCTGCACACCTGGGGCGGGTGCGGGCCTGGTGAATGGGCACACCTGGGCCTGGAGCTGGGGCTATAAGGGCGGCGGCACTCAGAGACGGACGGCTGCGGCGGGGGCCGTGCCAGGACGGACGGCTGCAGAGAGTGGGCACCGCGGGGTGAGCCGGAGAGAGCCCAGATTCGCCTCTTGGGCCTGCCGGCCGGCCTGGTTCCTCCCTGCGT